GAGATGGCACTTCTATAAATTGTAATTTAGTTCTAATGTCTGAATTTGGTCAGGTATGTGCTCAGCCCAATAGTATGCTATTATATATTTGTGTATTCTATGAAGTATGCTATTATATATTTGTGCATTCTATGTAGTATGCTATTATATATTTGTGCATTCTATGTAGTATGCTATTATATATTTGTGTATTCTATGCGGTATGCTATTACATATTTGTGCATTCTATGCGGTATGCTATTACATATTTGTGTATTCTATGCAGTATGCTATTACATATTTGTGCATTTTATGCAGTATGCTATTATATATCTGTGTATTCTATGTAGTATGCTATTACATATTTGTGTATTCTATGCAGTATGCTATTACATATTTGTGCATTTAATGCAGTATGCTATTATATATCTGTGTATTCTATGTAGTATGCTATTATATATTTGTGCATTCTATGCATTATGCTTTTACATATTTGTGTATTCTATGCGGCATCCTATTACATATTTGTGTATTCTATGCAGTATGCTATTATATATTTGTGCATTCTATGCAGTATGCTTTTACATATTTGTGTATTCTATGCAGTATGCTATTACATATTTGTGTATTCTATGTAGTATGCTATTACATATTTGTGCATTCTATGCATTATGCTTTTACATATTTGTGTATTCTATGTAGTATGCTATTACATATTTGTGTATTCTATGTAGTATGCTACTACATATTTGTGCATTCTATGCAGTATGCTTTTACATATTTGTGTATTCTATGTAGTATGCTATTACATATTTGTGTATTCTATGTAGTATGCTATTACATATTTCTGCATTCTATGCAGTATGCTATTACATATTTGTGTATTCTATGCAGTATGCTATTATATATTTGTGCATTCTATGCAGTATGCTATTACATATTTGTGTATTCTATGTAGTATGATATTACATATTTGTGCATTCTATGCAGTATGCTTTTACATATTTGTGTATTCTATGTAGTATGCTATTACATATTTGTGTATTCAATGCAGTATGCTATTATATATTTGTGAATACTATGCAGTATGCTATTATATATTTGTGCATTCTATGCAGTATGCTATTACATATTTGTGTATTCTATGTAGTATGCTATTACATATTTGTGCATTCTATACAGTATGCTATTACATATTTGTGTATTCTATGTAGTATGCTATTACATATTTGTGTATTCTATGTAATATGCTATTACATATTTGTGTATTCTATGCAGTATGCTATTACATATTTGTGTATTCTATGCAGTATGCTATTATATATTTGTGCATTCTATGCAGTATGCTATTACATATTTGTGTATTCTATGTAGTATGCAATTACATATTTGTGCATTCTATGCAGTATGCTATTATATATTTGTGCATTCTATGCAGTATGCTATTACATATTTGTGTATTCTATGTAGTATGCTATTACATATTTGTGCATTCTATACAGTATGCTATTACATATTTGTGTATTCTATGTAGTATGCTATTACATATTTGTGTATTCTATGTAATATGCTATTACATATTTGTGTATTCTATGTAGTATGCTATTACATATTTGTGCATTCTATGCAGTATGCTATTATATATCTGTGTATCCTATGCAGTATGCTATTATATATTTGTGTATTCTATGCAGTATGCTATTATATATCTGTGTATTCTATGCAGTATGCTATTATATATCTGTGTACTCTATGTATTATGCTATTATATATTTGTGTATTCTATGCAGTATGCTATTACATATTTGTGCATTCTATGCAGTATGCTATTATATATCTGTGTATTTTGTGCAGTATGCTATTATATATCTGTGTAGTCTATGCAGTATGCTATTATATATCTGTGTATTCTATGCAGTATGATATTATATATCTGTGTACTCTATGTATAATGCTATTATATATTTGTGTATTCTGTGCAGTATGCTATTACATATTTGTGTATTCTATGCAGTATGCTATTATATATCTGTGTATTCTATGCAGTATGATATTATATATCTGTGTACTCTATGTATTATGCTATTATATATTTGTGTATTCTATGCAGTATGCTATTACATATTTGTGTATTCTATGCAGTATGCTATTACATATTTGTGTATTCTATGCAGTATGCTATTACTTATTTGGGTATTCTATGCAGCATGCTATTACTTATTTGGGTATTCTATGCAGTATGCTATTATACATTTGTGTATTCTATGCAGTATGCTATTACATATTTGTGTAATCTATACAGTATGCTATTACATATTTGTGTATTCTATGCAGTATGCTATTATATATCTGTGTATTCTATGTAGTATGCTATTACATATTTGTGTATTCTATGCAGTATGCTATTACATATTTGTGCATTCTATGCAGTATGCTATTACATATTTGTGTATTCTATGCGGTATGCTATTACATATTTGTGTATTCTATGTAGTATGCTACTACATATTTGTGCATTCTATGCAGTATGCAATTACATATTTGTGCATTCTATGCAGTATGCTATGACATATTTGTGCATTCTATGCAGTATGCTATTACATATTTGTGTATTCTATGCAGTATGCTATTATATATCTGTGTATTCTATGTAGTATGCTATTATATATTTGTGTATTCTATGCAGTATGCTATTACATATTTGTGTATTCTATGCAGTATGCTATTACATATTTGTGTATTCTATGCAGTATGCTATGACATATTTGTGCATTCTATGCAGTATGCTATTACATATTTGTGTATTCTATGCAGTATGCTATTACATATTTGTGCATTCTGTGCAGTATGCTATTATATATCTGTGTATTCTTTGCAGTATGCTATTATATATCTGTGTATTCTATGCAGTATGCTATTATATATCTGTGTATTCTGTGCAGTATGCTATTATATATCTGTGTACTCTATGTATTATGCTATTATATATTTGTGTATTCTATGCAGTATGCTATTACATATTTGTGTATTCTATGCAGTATGCTATTACATATTTGTGTATTCTATGCAGTATGCTATTACTTATTTGGGTATTCTATGCAGTATGCTATTATATATATGTGTGTATTCTATGCAGTATGCTATTATATATCTGTGTATTCTATGTAGTATGTTATTATATATCTGTGTATTCTATGCAGTATGTTATTATATATCTGTGTATTCTATGTAGTATGTTATTATATATCTGTGTATTCTATGCAGTATGCTATTATATATTTGTGTATTCTATGTAGTATGTTATTATATATCTGTGTATTCTATGCAGTATGTTATTATATATCTGTGTATTCTATGTAGTATGTTATTATATATCTGTGTATTCTATGCAGTATGCTATTATATATCTGTGTATTCTATGTAGTATGTTATTATATATCTGTGTATTCTATGCAGTATGTTATTATATATATGTGTATTCTATGCAGTATGAGCTGATGGCTACATTAGATTGTATATGGAAACAATCACCTGCGTTTCTAATTTGCTGACCTACTCTTTGAATTTGGCCATGGTTCGTGGCATCAATTAACAATTAAAGTATAAACGTACATGATTTGACAAGCATTGTTTCCATTCGTTCTCTTGTCACCCGCTGTGTGTGCCAGAGATGGTTGGAGAGCGTAGAGATTTTACATTCGCTTCACGTGCAACTTAATTGTCAATTCCATTTAGTTTACTTCAAGTTGTGGCTAAAGAACTGATGAAACCACACATTGATATACAGTTACGGTTTGGGTCAGACTTTAATGGGGCAAGTTTTACCGGAAACCACAAAGGCTACAAGTATGCCATTTTGCATGTACGTTGTTAAGGGATTAACATGCAGGTTCGTCGAAAATTTACATTTTACAGAGTTATGGCCCTTGTTTGACTTTTGACACACGATGTACAATACGCCCAATTTCTCGGCAATGATGAATATGTTTGGGGTTTTTTTTCGTTTTAAACATGTTAAATTTTCTTCCTGAAGATGTAATGAGACATTGTTAAGTGACAATTGTTCCTAGCATGGAATGTGGCAAACAAAAGAGCAACGCTTAGGTCTGATGTTAATGTATAGTAAGTACCGATACAACATGTATTTAAAACTCCAGGCAAGCGCCGGACTGTGTGGTCCAGACTCGATTACTTACAGACTGCCAACATATAGTTTATAGAGAAAATTGCTAAGTGCGACGTTAAGAAACAAACGCATATACTAACAGTAACAATTTTGGGAACTGAATATCGGCGATACCAGTCAGACACGATACGTATAAACTATAGACACTTGCCACGCTTACATGACGAATTCGGGCATCAGAGGGATTTCAGCAACAATGGCTTGAACACACTCGTATACATATCGTCAGAAAACAAATTATACAGCCACGCACTTCATATGTACACATATGTAAGAGGGTGGGGCCGAAATTTTCAAAAAGAGGCGTGGGAGTGGAGGTGCACGCTAAACACAAATCAAGAAGTGAACAAAACACGTGGCAGCTAGGTTGGCATGATAGATGCCTGAATACAGCGCAACACTGAACCCACACCTGCCCACCGCCCGCGTCCCAGCCATCCTTCTCTCACCTAAGGGCTCACTCACACATTGAGGAATTTTACTGCCGTCCTTGATAGGACCATTCTCGATTAAAATTTGACAAAAGCCTGATCAAGATCCTGTGTTTCGTGACGGGAAATTCAAAAACAATTAGATATTGTTGAGGAAGCTTCCCGATTCAGCCGTTTCCAGCCGAATTCGTCCCGATTCAGCCGTGTTTACCTCCTCCTGTTTCAGACGCCCTGCATATAAACGTCTAACTAGGTCAATTTTAGTAGCGTTTCTTGACAAGTTCGGCTTTATTTTAAATATTTGAACTGGACTTAGAAGAGAAAAGGTTTGACCATAATCACATTTTATTTCGGATTCGAACTCTTTTCAAATTTGTCTCACGTTCTGATCATCACACTTTCCATCGCTGGCAAATAGAGTTACTTCCCCTGAAGAAAGCCGGAAGTACAGAATCATGGCGAACTTGGCAAGGAAGTGGATAATACTTTCTGTTAAATATATTTTGGTGTTGGCGCTATTACCGAGTTACACAGGTATGTAATTTATCGGAAAAAATGCCTGATCGTTAAGAAATGGATTCGAATAAAATGTGACTTCCTTAAGCCCAACCGCTCTTTCAAAAGCGCATTTTGTTTTATTGATTAGACAAAAGTATCCATGACTCAGTTCATGGGCATGGCCTAAGAAATAACGTCAGTGAATAGGTGTAGAAATTTCAGTATGGATATGCAGAACAATATATGGTCCATTTAGCGGTCCATTTATTTGAAGTTTTAGATTCAAAACTTGAGATCTAATTAATAAACAAACCTCGAAATCATGAAGCAAGATTGGTCCAGATCATGCGACAGACGACAGTCACGCGACAACTGACTAGACTAGTCACTGATCTCGCTTGCCATTTCGATCCTCAGGGTGAGAGTAGATTACCCCCAACTCTAAACTTGGATCTTCTTTCCGATCATAAGGATTGGTGTCCTTTTCTGGTAATTTTTATCCAGTTTCACAAAGAAATCTGGCTACTGTGCATGCACATCGAGGTAAACAATCGGCTGCTGATCACTGGCTGACAAGCAATAATTTTTGTTCAAGCACCTGTGGTCCCCAGATAAAGTCTTAACTTATTACACCAACTCATTATCACAGCTCAGCTTCAAACGGCAACATGAGCTTGATCCTCTCTGTGGTGCTAATTGATATCCATTTACTGCACCCCATAAAGTGCAGAACTCCCCATTAAAGACTGCTATGAGACATATAGGGAGTACTGCACTTTACAGGGCACACTTTTCCAGATTCCAATATTCCAACCATCGGGGTAGTGTAGGATCGTACCTGCTTTGCCAGATTGAAGATACAATGAAGACTGAAGGCTAATGAGTTACTGAGCCTGAGAATCTGGCAGTAAGCCAACACTTTCCCATGGGACTGCAGAGGCTTTAACACATAATGAGTACTCTCCTACCTTGTGATTAGCATCACAGGTAATGAACATGTAAAAAATTCTTTAAGGTTTCTTATCCTTCTCAGTTTTTGCTGAAGACTAGTTGGACATACATAATACTTGAGTTTTGTTTCAGATGCAAAGAGAACAAAGGAGAAGATTTATATTGACCTTCAGACTCAAAATGCTTGTTTCCGGTCTCTGAACGCCACCCACCAGATTGGGTGTACATGTACGTATGCTGTGGGAATGCCATGGTTCTGTTAGACGCCATTGGGTGGTCATTAGGTAGTGTTTGAGTACATCGTATACACCTACAACACAATACACCTGTCCATGTATCAATTCTTTTTTTAATTCTGTATCAATGTAAGTTTCAAAAAGTAACATTTATGAAGCTTTGTAGTAACTGGTTACCTCACCACCTGTCTTGGAACATAACACCATAAAGTGAACCTAAGTTATACTGTCATGGGACATGATGAGTTTTAAACACAAAATAGTTGATAGTCTCGGGCCTTATGGAACATGGAGAATTTCACACAAAAACTCTGTGAAGTAAGTATTGTTTTACATATTGTATCGTGACACAAGTATGGTAATGTGTATAGACAGAGATGCCAACCATTACGCTCTTGACTTTATAATTACGTTTTTTGGCCTAAATTTACGCTATTATGCTTATCATCCCCAAATTACGATTTTGACTTTTTTTCACGAATTATTTAAATGTGTAAAATATCATGAAGAGCAAATTGTTCATGCACTGATAATGTGAAGCATTCTGCAGGAAGCGATTGCTTCTACACAGGGGCAGATTTAACAACAAATTCGAATGAAGCCAGCTGGCCCTGCTACTTTCAAAAGTTAACTGGCACAAAACTAAATGTTGGAGGCCACAACTGAGTTACCCAGCATGTCCAGGGGACTCTGAAAATTTTAGAACTCCTCACCCCTAAAACGTCATTTCCTGCTCTCTGAGATTATATCTTGACTTCCATTTGCCCCATTTCGTGGCGATTTTATGAACAAATAAAGATGTTGTACAATACATAACAGTATTGGTCATCGGTTGTTCTACCAAGATGGTCTTTGAGTTAACCATTCACATGACTTCAAGATATGACGTGATTTCATGAGCAGTGTCCAATAAAAAAAATTATACATTCAGGGAGAAGGGGTGAAATTTTGACTAGCCAGACAGGCCATCTACTTTATGTTTGGACAAGCCTTTCATAAATTTGGCTGGCCACAGCCATCAGTTAAGTCCACAGCCATCAGTTAAGTCCACAGCCATCAGTTAAGTCCACCGCCATCAGTTAAGTCCACAGCCATCAGTTAAGTCCACAGCCATCAGTTAAGTTCACAGCCATCAGTTAAGTCCACAGCCATCAGTTAAGTCCACAGCCATCAGTTTAGTTCACAGCCATCAGTTAAGTTGACAAGTCAACCCCTGTGTACACCACACCACATTGCCTTTCTGCAATAGAGTTAATATTGTCACATGATGAATTTTTTTAATGTGTGGAACTTTGACCACATGATTATATTTGCGATGTCCTTTTTTCACATTTTTAATGATATTCAATTTCGAGGTTTAGTCATATTTGGCCATACAAAGACAAGCAGTTTTGTTTTGCTTATTTTGAGCTTTATCGCCCTACATTACTACCAGCAATGCATGTGCACCCATGCTTCATGTACATATGGGCCTCTCACAAACATCAAAGCAAAAACCAGCATCATGCCATGGTACTCTTAACATTACATTACACATGAAAATACACTGTTTTACCCCACTGATTACTCCAAGCCTTCAGGGTTTGTATCTCTGCTATACATTCTCAAAGGATGTATGAGTTAGGGGTATCATGACAACCCTAGAACCCAGGTAGAATTAGTTATGTTTTAGCTAACCGTCATAAGGTTACTTGAGACCCTGAATGGATATCACATGCAGGGTAAAGTATACAAATGTAAAAAATGTTCAGATTTTAATCATTTTTTTTCGGCATGATAAGCGTCTTAGATACAAATGTAAAATGGCAGGTGAATTGAACCCACATTTCTGGCTGTTCATTCAAATCAAATTAGGGATGTGTGTTGGACATGTTGGAGGTTTAAAGTGTATCGAAATATTTTATGATGCACAAGGCCGTGCTGCGATATGTATCAAAATATATTGTATAATTCAAAATATTGAACTCAGGAGCAATTTGAGACATCAATGTATGAACATGATGAATTGAAGTTTATAGACTGAACAAAACAAGAGGCTGGTACACCATGTACACCATGTTTACTCACTCAATAAGTAGACACGGAGGCACTCTCCTGGACACTGATACACCATAATGTTTACTCACTCAATAAGTAGGCACGGAGGCACTCTCCTGGACACTGATACACCATGTTTACTCACTCAATAAGTAGGCACGGAGGCACTCTCCTGGACACTGATACACCATAATGTTTACTCACTCAATAAGTAGACACGGAGGCACTCTCCTGGACACTGATACACCATAATGTTTACTCACTCAATAAGTAGACACGGAGGCACTCTCCTGGACACTGATACACCATAATGTTTACTCACTCAATAAGTAGGCACGGAGGCACTCTCCTGGACACTGATACACCATAATGTTTACTCACTCAATAAGTAGACACGGAGGCACTCTCCTGGACACTGATACACCATAATGTTTACTCACTCAATAAGTAGGCACGGAGGCACTCTCCTGGACAGTGATACACCATAATGTTTACTCACTCAATAAGTAGGCACGGAGGCACTCTCCTGGACACTGATACACCATAATGTTTACTCACTCAATAAGTAGGCACGGAGGCACTCTCCTGGACACTGATACACCATAATGTTTACTCACTCAATAAGTAGACACGGAGGCACTCTCCTGGACACTGATACACCATAATGTTTACTCACTCAATAAGTAGGCACGGAGGCACTCTCCTGGACACTGATACACCATAATGTTTACTCACTCAATAAGTAGACACGGAGGCACTCTCCTGGACACTGATACACCATAATGTTTGCTCACTCAATAAGTAGACACGGAGGCACTCTCCTGGACACTGATACACCATAATGTTTACTCACTCAATAAGTAGACACGGAGGCACTCTCCTGGACACTGATACACCATAATGTTTACTCACTCAATAAGTAGACACGGAGGCACTCTCCTGGACACTGATACACCATAATGTTTGCTCACTCAATAAGTAGACACGGAGGCACTCTCCTGGACACTGATACACCATAATGTTTACTCACTCAATAAGTAGACACGGAGGCACTCTCCTGGACACTGATACACCATAATGTTTACTCACTCAATAAGTAGACACGGAGGCACTCTCCTGGACACTGATACACCATAATGTTTACTCACTCAATAAGTAGACACGGAGGCACTCTCCTGGACACTGATACACCATAATGTTTACTCACTCAATAAGTAGACACGGAGGCACTCTCCTGGACACTGATACACCATAATGTTTACTCACTCAATAAGTAGACACGGAGGCACTCTCCTGGACACTGATACACCATAATGTTTACTCACTCAATAAGTAGACACGGAGGCACTCTCCTGGACAGTGATGACATGACATTACACTGGACTAATCTTCCTATCACGTGACTGGACTTTTCTCATTTGTAAATAAACAGACTGATTCTGAAATCAGACCAGACTGGGCAATGCAAGCCTTTCACTGTGTTATCTTATTGTTTTGCGTAATTATATAGCTATCTTACTGTGACAGTGGGGTGCATGACAATATATCTTTATACATCCAAGTGACTATAAAGCTACCTCTCCATTGTGCTTAGATGACAGCATGTGGAGCCGTATAACCATGTGCCATAGATGTTGTTGACGTAAGTGTACAAAATGATGTGACCCGTGAAGATCAGGAGTAGAATAGGTCTTCACCAACCCATGCTTGCCGTAATAAGTGACTATGCTTGTTGTAAGAGGCGACTAATGGGATCGGATGGTCGGGCTAGCTGACTTGGTTGATGCATGTCATCTTGTCCCTGTTCATGATCGATGCTCATGATGTCAATTGACTGGATTGTCTGGCCCAGACTTGATTATTTACAGACTGCCGTCATATAGCTCGAATATTGCAGAGTTCGGCGTTAAACAACAAACAAACAAAACGAAATGATGCAAATGCATATAAGGGAGGTAATCTTCATGTCCTTGCATTTTGGAGTTATGGAAACATGTCAGAGGTATTTGGCAAGTGTACAACATTAAACACAGGAAAAAAATTGCTTCTTGAAATCACCCGAAATACCGAGCATTAAAAAGGGATATTGTGATACGCATCTTGGAAAGAATTAACCTCAATTTACCGATATACTGGTAATACTGCATTCCCTTAGTCTTATGTTTATTTATATGGGTTTGAAGACTAGCTCAGAGGACTTGTGTAAACCTTACTTCACCTGCTTGAACAAGAATATGCTATTTACCATGTTTACAAGTTCTGTCCATCTTTTCAGTTCCAATTTGTTGAGAAAAAGAATCATTGAGAACTGGTTCATCAGCATAGCCCTCTAATGCTACTAGTCAATGAGGTCTACCACCATTGATCTTTAACCTGTCTTCAGCACTATTTCAGAGTTCATTTCGAAGGCTGGTGTGTTAAGCTTTATTCAATAATGTGTCCACACTGTGTCAAAGCAATTTTCGTAGAACCTATTCCAACTATCACCGACTTGACTCGCCCGTGAACTGTCCCTGCCCCACTGTTACAGCCTCCTCCGAGGGCAATGTGGGCGTCCTGCACTACCTGGAGACACAGGACGACTACAGCTGGATACTGAAGGATGGCCCCAACCCTCCCTATGTCGTCTTGATGAACTCCCTCGAGTTTAACAGGTATGCAGTAGTCCTCACGCCAACTGCTTTCAGATGTTGTTTACACAAGATATAGCTTCTCATGGCTATAAAGGGCAAGTAGACTGAACATAGAAGTTTTGCTATTTAAATATTTAGGGCATGCTTAATCACAAACATGACAAAGGCTTGACCAGATTCAAATTTGAAAAATGTAAATAGTGTAAAACAGATGTTGAAAAATGAAATGATCTTGGTCAGATCTTATATGACTAGCACAATACCCGGCCTCTCAAGGTGATACATTTTGACAATCACCAGCCAAATGAAAAAATGCGCCACTAATGTCAAGACAGGTTTGAATCATGTTTTTCACTTTTCGTGCCCTTTAGGAGGTGTTGTGAGTGGGTGAGATGTTGCACCATGTGTAAGTGGGTGAGATGTCGTGTTGCACCATGTGTAAGTGGGTGAGATGTTGCACCATGTGAAAGTGGGTGAGATGTCGTGTTGCACCATGTGTAAGTGGGTGAGATGTTGCACCATGTGTAAGTGGGTGAGATGTCGTGTTGCACCATGTGTAAGTGGGTGAGATGTCGTGTTGCAACATGTGTAAGTTGGTGAGATGTCGTGTTGCACCATGTGTAAGTGGGTGAGATGTTGCACCATGTGTAAGTGGGTGAGATGTCGTGTTGCACCATGTGTAAGTGGGTGAGATGTCGTGTTGCACCATGTGTAAGTGGGTGAGATGTCGTATTGCAACATGTGTAAGTGGGTGAGATGTCTTGTTGCACCATGTGTAAGTGGTTGAGATGTCGTATTGCAACATGTGTAAGTGGATGAGATGTTGCACCATGTGTAAGTGGGTGAGATGTCGTGTTGCACCATGTGTAAGTGGGTGAGATGTCGTGTTGCACCATGTGTAAGTGGGTGAGATGTTGCAGCATGTGTAAGTGGGTGAGATGTCATATTGCAACATGTGTAAGTGGGTGAGATGTTGTGTTGCACCATGTGTAAGTGGGTGAGATGTTGCACCATGTGTAAGTGGATGAGATGTTGCACCGTGTGTAAGTGGGTGAGATGTCGTTTTGCACCATGTGTAAGTGGGTGAGATGTCATGTTGCACCATGTGTAAGTGGGTGAGATGTTGCAGCATGTGTAAGTGGGTGAGATGTCGTGTTGCACCATGTGTAAGTGGGTGAGATGTCGTGTTGCAACATGTGTAAGTGGGTTAGATGTCGTGTTGCACCATGTGTAAGTGGGTGAGACGTTGTGTTGCACCATGTGTAAGTGGGTGAGATGTCGTATTGCAGCATGTGTAAGTGGGTGAGATGTCATGTTGCACCATGTGTGAGTGGATGAGATGTTGCACCATGTGTAAGTGGGTGAGATGTCGTGTTGCACCATGTGTAAGTGGGTGAGATGTTGCACCATGTGAAAGTGGGTGAGATGTCGTGTTGCGCCATGTGTAAGTGGGTGAGATGTTGCACCATGTGTAAGTGGGTGAAGTGTTGCACCATGTGTAAGTGGGTGAGATGTCGTGTTGCACCATGTGTAAGTGGGTGAGATGTCGTGTTGCAACATGTGTAAGTGGGTGAGATGTCGTGTTGCACCATGTGTAAGTGGGGAGATGTTGCAGCATGTGTAAGTGGGTGAGATGTCGTGTTGCAGCATGTGTAAGTGGGTGAGATTTCGTGTTGCAGCATGTGTAAGTGGGTTAGATGTCGTGTTGCACCATGTGTAAATGGGTGAGACGTTGTGTTGCACCATGTGTAAGTGGGTGAGATGTCGTGTTGCAGCATGTGTAAGTGGGTGAGATGTCGTGTTGCACCATTTGTAAGTGGATGAGATGTTGCACCATGTGTAAGTGGGTGAGATGTCGTGTTGCACCATGTGGAAGTGGGTGAGATGTTGCACCATGTGTAAGTGGGTGAGATGTCGTGTTGCACCATGTGTAAGTGGGTGAGATGTTGCACCATGTGTAAGTGGGTGAGATGTCTTGTTGCACCATGTGGAATTGGGTGAGATGTTGCACCATGTGGAAGTGGGTGAGGTGTTGCACCATGTGGAAGTGGGTGAGATGTCGTGTTGCACCATGTGGAAGTGGGTGAGATGTTGCACCATGTGTAAGTGGGTGAGATGTCGTGTTGCACCATGTGTAAGTGGGTGAGATGTCGTGTTGCAGCTCTAACCTGGACATGCTGGTGGCCTCGCAGCGAGTCAATGGGATACTGGTCATCAACGTGCTGGAGAACCAGACCTTGACCCCATTTCCTGGCCAGTTCTCCGCGGACAAGTCATGTCCGAATGATGCATATGGTGAGTAACTGGCATAGGAGAGGACATCATACTGGTTCTCCAGAAACAATGATTGCAGATCAGTTCCTTTCAAGTCATTATTGTGTGTGAGCTGGAAGGTCATGTAGCAGTACACATTTTGGAGTCAGAATCCGAGGAACGTTTGTTTGAATCCCAGAATTTCTCTCATCGTGTTTCTTTGGTTGTCAGCTCCCATTTCCAAAGACCTGCTCAGTTCAGGGTTTCCTCCATAAAATGACTAAAATACAGGTGGTGTTGGACTCCACCCAACTGACTCAGTCATTACCACGGTGATGTTGTTTGAGAAACATGGCGCGAGGGCACTCTAGAAGATGATTTATCACTGTTGGTGGGACACACTTCATGTACTCCTATACCAACAGCATTTCTGAACATGATCTGTATCTGTGTTCACCTTGACAATCTATCTGTGTTCACCATGACGATGTATCTGGTCACCATGACAATGTATCTGTTCACCATGACTATGTATCTGTTCACCATGACGATGTATCTGATCACCATGACAATGTATCTGTTCACCATGACGATGTATCTGTTCACCATGACGATGTATCTGATCACCATGACAATGTATCTGTTCACCATCATGATGTATCTGTTTACCATGACGATGTATCTGTTCACCATGACGATGTATCTGATCACCATGAAGATGTATCTGATCACCATGACGATGTATCTGTTCACCATGACGATGTATCCATTCACCATGACGATGTATCTGTTCACCATGACGATGTATCTGATCACCATGACAATGTTTCATATCAGGCATGTACCACAAGGACAAGGACTACAGCAACTGCAGGAAGCAGCAGTGGAACGTAGGGGGGACTGACATTGGCATGATGTTCAAGGACTACAGCATCCCCATGTTCTCCCTGCCTAATGAGGAAGATGTCACCAAGCTCATCAGCACGGTCAGTGGACTAGTTGACACTCCCCGCTGTATTTTGCGACCAAAAATAAAAATTCTGCGATCAACTTTTGTAAATTCTGCAGACAATTCTTTTAGGTTAGTTTTCGTAGTTGTGCATCTGTTTGAGCTGTGGTAGGTGTGTAAAGATATGCTCACCACGGCTAGAATAGCTTATGACAGTAAATCTGGAGATCACTAGATGCACTTTCTGTAAGCAATAATACAAAAGTCAACTTCACTTCGAAACAAACTAGATATCTGTGTACATGTTTAAAACCAGATTTTGACTCACATGTTAAAATTCTGCAGTGTATTTGACAAATTCTGCGCAAAACGTTATTTTCTGCCAGAAAGATACATTTCTGCACCCAGGAGGCATTTCTGCAAAATATTCTGTGACCATGGAATCGGAGATTACAGCAGGGACTGATTTGAATGCTCTAAGTGGGAAGTAGCCATAATCATCTTCACATTCATAGCATGTCCGTTACGGATTAGGTATATGGGCAATATTTCCTTATCAAATAGAAAATAAAGATAATAATTATCCGCTTTTAGTCTGACTGTACAGGCATCCTCACCCTCAGCAGCCTGAATCATGTCCAGGAATTAGGTCATCAGTTGGCAGAAAAATTCATTCTGTCTCACTTTTGAAAATGATATCAATTGATTAGTCATTATGGATATTAGTAATTGTGATAGTAATACATAGTAGACATGTTATTTGGCTTCAGGAAAGCCGTGTTGGTAAACTGGTGAATTATATTGGCAGTGCTATGAGAGATTCAACCGGCCCATAAATGGCACGCCGCGCAACTACCCACTGTGTGCCGTCCAGCTGAACGACAGGATGGACGCGGCCAAGGACTCCGTGACCTGTACCAGAAGGACGAACAGAATCACCAATCTGAGTAACCCTGTCCGATACTGCGACCCTCTCGGAGACAAGAACATTGTTGCCACCATGAAGACTGTCAATTCTACAGAACAGAGGCTGAACAAGTCTGTGATAGTATTCGCCACCAAGGTACCTGCTCAACACAGGGCACAGAAGCTAATGTCCATTGCCCTTATTTATGAGGTTTCAAACAACACACAGTGTTATGTACAGTGTGAGACAGTGTTATGTACAGTGTTATGGACAGTGTACACTGTGAGACAGTGTTATATACAGTGTGAGACAGTGTTATGTACAGTGTGAGACAGTGTTATGTACAGTGTGAGACAGTGTTATGACATTTACTGTGTGAGGCAGTGTTATGTACAGTGTGAGACAGTGTTATGTACAGTGTGAGACAGTGTTATATACAGTGTTATGTACAGTGTGAGACAGAAGTATATACAGTGTAAGACAGTGTTATGACATGTCTGAGACAAGCATTTGATGTCTTACAGATGGACTCTCTGGCCATGTTTCACAACGAGTACCCAGCCTCGGACTCCACGGTGACGGGCATTGTGACGGTCCTGGCTGTTGCTGAAGCTCTGGGTGCAACCAGACAGGAGATCAAGGACACGCCCACTGCCAAGGACATCATGTTCACCTTGTTCCAAGGGGTCAGTCATACTTCCCTCATCAGTTCAGATTAAGTTTAGTTTGAATTTTGTTTTTTTGGTGTATTTAGATTCTACTTCTAACAAGGACAAAAAGCTGGAAACAACAAATGACCTAGCCTCAGGAAACAAAATGGAATTTTGAGCAGGTGTTAACTTACAGCTGTGTGATTTATGTTAATGAGCTGGAAATAGCATATACCCTCAATTGTGTGGCACATGTACAATGCTGGGGTTATTTACCCTCCGTTGTGTGGGCACATGTACAATGCTGGTGTTATTTACCCTCCGTTGTGTGGGCACATGTACAATGCAGTAGTTAATTACATTAAGTAATACGTTACCACTGTTATACCGAGGCTGTTGTCTCCCACAACTGCTGCTATAGCGAAATCTACCACAGAGATCTCAATTACCTCATGCAGCACGTGCGTAGCCACCCAGCTGCCATGTGACACCCTTCACTCTTGTCTCCTTCGTCTGCTTAGCAAGACGTGTTTTCTCCTGCTGAAGCGTTCCTTGAAGATTTGGTGATATTTATTATAGTTTATTCTCTAATAAACTGTGCTTTTATGGGGCGTTGCGGTAGCTACGCTTGGTTATAATTTTCCCGCCAAACGGAAAATTTTTCCCACACTTTTTTCTATATACTTGCGGGGTTCGCGTATGCACGTTGTGTTTTACGTTTCCCCTGTTCTTGTATGTTTTGGGGGTTAACATCACTTATTTCTTTAATAAAAGTTATATGTGTATGTTATATGTTCACATTGCTCGTTTATTTTCTTGTGAAAATGTTCGTTTGTGAATCATTGTGGTGCGTGCGTTGTAACCATGTTTTGTTCTTTGTTTATAGCAAACAATCAATGTCTGACATGGATATGTCCCCAGTATCCACCCCCTCTACCCCTGCTCCTCGGAGTTGTGGGGTGTGCAGAAAGTTTTTGTCGTCCCGGGATCCCCACGATCGTTGCCCGCGGTGCAGGGTTCCTTGCGGGGACACCCGGTGCATCCTGTGCGAAGGTCTGGGGCCTGCGGAGTTTGAGCGATACCGGCTGTACGTACAGTCCGTCTCCACCCCTGTGGTGGCCGGTTCGTCCGGTCGGGGTCCCCGTGCGGGTACCACCTCCTCGGCTGCGGCAGATCCCCTTGCGGCCCTCGGGCTGTCTGGGGATTCCGTCACCACATTGTTGTCGAAACTTGTGGTCTCCAAGCTGGCGGCCTTATCGCAAGATAGGCCGCTGGCTGTTCCGTCCCCGGCCTCTTCGGTGGCCGCGGGGTCGGACGCGGGGTCCACCGGTAAAGCGGCGGATCTCTTGGCGGCCCGTGTGCTGTCCGGGGATTCCGTCGCTGCATTACTTGCATAACTTGTGGACTCCAAGCTGGCGGCCTTATCTCAGGGTAGGCCGCTGGCTGTTCCGTCCCCGGCCACTTCGGTGGCCGCGGGGTCCACCGGTACGGCGGCGGCTCCCGTGGTCACCGGTCCTTCCCCCGAACCGTTGCTCCCGCTATCGGTTTAGGACCGCGTGGCCATGGTTTATTACCTCTTTGAGGACATGCCCCGGCCGGTACCGCGGGGAATCCACGACTGTGGGTTCCTCCGAGGTATACGATGAGTCTTCTGACACGGCTTTCCCCGCATCAACCTTGCTGCGCGGTTTCAAGCCTTCCTTGGAGAACGCCTTCGCGGCGGCCTCCGGTCGGGGTCTCCCGTTGCCTCCGACGTCGTGGAGAAAGGGTTTCTTCCCGGTACATGACCTTGCCTTTCCCGAGGCTGGTCCTACCGCGGAGGCCCATGTTGACCGGTTGGGTGTCCGTGCCCCACCGGCTGCTACGGTAACGCAAGCTACCTTGCACCAGCTGGACGCCCTCGCTCGGCACTCCATGTCTCACGGAGACACTTACTTGGCTGCAGCGGCCCGTCTGGTCGAAGGTTCTCCCACGGACCGTGACCAGCGCATTTACAACTGCCTGCTCAGTTTAAATGCTTCCCTGGAGTACGTTGCCGAGGACTCTCGGCACACACTTGCTCTTGTTGGGTCCCTGCATAGGCGCCTGGGTGCCGCTCCTAACCGGAGCGCGCCCCAGGCTGCTGCGGCCGGTAGGTCTAAGGGGTCGGGTTCTTCTTCCTCTGGGAAGTAGCCCCGCCCTGAGGGCTCCGGTATGGGCAATCAGCTGCCCTTTCGCGGGAAGACGGGGAACTGGGGGAAGCCCAAGTCGTCGACGGACGGCAAGGGCCCCTCCAGGTGACTCTCATTGGAGGGGTTCGTATGCCGACAGCGCCAACTTCGGTTGGCCCTTAGGCGAACCCGAGTCACTTGGCCCTGGACAGTTGCGCCTGCCGCAACCTGTCAGGGCCCCCTCTCCTTCCCCAGTGGGAGCCAGACTCCAGACTTACTGGGAGAATTGGGAACAAGTGTTCGACGACCCGTGGGTGGTCAACACGATTCGGTACGGCTATCGGCTTGATCTCAAAGCGAATCCGCCGCTCACCGTTGCCCCGTTGGCAGGTTTCGATTCGGAAACCGATCTTCCCATCCTCGCCGATGCCATCGGCAGGTTGCTGGAGAAGGGGCAGTACGGGAGTTAGCTCTACCAGAAATAACACCGGGGTTTTACTCCAGGATATTTCTCGTTCCCAAGTAGGACAGTGCCAAACTCAGAATGATTCACACGTCCGCTCCCTGGCTGTTCACCCGGTTAACCACCCCCATAGTGGGGTTCCTCCACAGGAGGGGTGTCCGGTACTTCGCGTACCTGGACGACTCGCTAGTAGCAAATCGAATGACGGACACCCTGTCACGCCATCTCGTTTTCGCACGTCGGCTCTTGGAGCAATTTGGGTGGATTATCAATCTCCCCAAGAGCGAGTTAACCCCTTCTCAGAACTTGCTGATCATCGGAGGTCGGTTCAACACGGTGTCCCATCGCCTCTTTGTCCCCCCAGACCGGTGGCACAAATTTCAGGCGATGATTGCCAAAGTCTTAGCGGTGCAACAGACTGTTCACTTTTGGGAACAGCTGTTAGGGCTACTTGTATCAGCCCAGGACTGCACCGCACGGGGTCGTCTCCAACTCCGCCCGCTGCAACGGTTTTTAATCTAGTTGTTAGCAACGGAGGTGAACAGTGCGACCGTCGCCCTCCCGGATCGGCTCCGACCGCATCTGGAGTGGTGGACGGTCCCTTACATTGTCTTATCAGGAGTCTCTATGCGGCCCTACCGGGCCACGTTGACCCTGTATACAGACGCCTCTCTAGTGGGCTGGGGCGCCCATCTAAAGGGGGAGGTGAGCTCAGGGCTGTGGTGCGTAGACGAACTAGGTCTTCACATCACTTGTCTCGAGTTCAAGGCAGTGATCAACGGCTCATGCTGGTGATCGACAACACGACGGTAGTGTCCTATGTGAACAAACTGGGGGGAACCCACAGTCACTCGCTACTCGATCTCACGTTCGAGTTTTACGCTCTGGTGGACAGTGTCCCGTGCCAGATACGCGCCCGTCACATCCCAGGTGTGCGGAACGTACTGGCCGATGCTCTATCGAGGCCTCAGGATACGAGCCCCACAGAGTGGATGCTGAACCCAGTAGTGTTTCAGTGGCTGTGCGAACGTTTGGGTCGTCCGATGGTCGACCTGTTCGCAACGCGGTTCAACAATCAACTCCCGTTGTTTGTATCACCAGTCCCGGACCCGAGGGCCATCGATCACGATGCTCTCGCGTTAGACTGGACGGGCTTGGTCGCTTATGCTTACCCGCCGACAGCGTTGATACCACACATTCTAAGCCGGCTCCGAGGAGTTCGCTGTCGAATGTTACTGATCGCGCCCATGTGGCCGAACAGATCGTGGTACCCCGACTTGCTGACCCAGGTCACGCAGTCGCCACTTCCACTGCCTGTGAGACCGGATCTCTTGATCCACCCTCACACCCGTCAGCTTCATCCAAACGCAGGGCAGTTCAATCTGCACGAGTGGATGTTGTCACCGAGCGTCTGAGGAGTAAAGTTTTTTCTCGCCGGGCGTCTCGGGCATACGTTAGTATGCATTGTGATTCTACCCAGAAGGTGTATAATGCACGTTGGGTTATTTTCACGAAGTGGTGTTGTAAACATCACATTCATTCGCCAGATAAGGTATCTGTGCAGGATATTGCTCGTTTCATGTCTCACTTGCGAGAGACCCGGAAACTCTCCGGGGGTTCCATTGCCAACTATGTCTCGTCCGTTGCTACGGTACGGGACGTTGCTATGGGTACCAGTCTCTCCAAAGAGCCGGTGATACGGGGTATTATCAAGGGTTTCAAACAGCACGATCTTAAGAAGGGCCGCCTTCGGGCACCGGCCTTGGATCTTTCCCTAGTGTTGCAATCACTTACGGAAGCTCCGTATGAACCCTTGCATAGTGCTTCGTTCCGGCATGTGACTTGGAAAACAGCATTTCTCCTCTCCTTTGCCACGGCGGCACGTGTATCCGAAATTCATGCACTCGATGTCGCCAAGGTACGATTCGATAGGGGTGACGAAGGAGCGGTCCGCCTGGGCCTGCTCATGGGCTTCGTCGCCAAGAATCAGAGAGTCGGGCAAACGGAGAGAGAATTCACTGTAAGATCACTCAAAGAAATCTTACATCCTGCTGATACTGAGGACAGAGCGCTGTGTCCGGTTAGGGCCCTTAAGTATTATCTTAAGGCTTCGAATGAACGTAGACAAGGGCGTGACCGTCTGTTCATATCGTGTAACCCTAATCGCACGGTTGACATAACTCGCAACTCGATTGCGTTGTGGCTTCGTTCTGTCATCAATCTGGCGTACCGGTCTCGGGGGTTACCGGTAGCGGGGTCAAACCCGCACGAGATCAGGGCGCTAGCGGCAACATTTGCCCTACACTCGAATATCTCTGTTCGCAGAATATTACGAGGTTGTTACTGGCGTTCCGACTCGGTTTTTGCCAATCATTACCTCAAACAGGTCGCTGATGCCGTCGTGGAGAGTGTGCACCGTCTTGGCCCGCGGATCGCGGCGCAAGCGGGCACCTAAGGGGTGTGCCCAGCGCAATTCCGAACTCCTCAGGCGTCTGACCTTGCACGGTGGTCAATCTGGGTCGACTCCAATGTTCCCACTGCCGTGGGTACAGGAGTTGGGGTCCCGCAAACCAGCGCACTCACACCACAGGTGAGGGCGGCTTTTTGTGTGCTTTGTCCTTATTTGTATTTTGACAATTATGTCTTTAATTGTCTGTCGTGTATCCCAACCTTGTGATGCATGCTTACAAATACTGGAATTAGGTCATGCGCCTAATGCATACTTTAAGTAGGCTTGCTCTGGGATATACGGTCTGAATGAAATTAATTTCCCTCTTTTCGACTGTTTAACCTGATCTAAGATTAAGCTCACGCGGATACAGTGTTCTCATCCGCTGCGGCGATGAAATACCTATCCAGTGGGGCCGTTTGGAGTCACCAATCGTTTTGGCAATGACGATTGAGCCTTACGGTATGCGCTTGACAGTGCTTTGGTATTCCTATAGGGTAACGCCTAGCTAGGTGCATGCGCATCGAGTGCTTCCGCCTTGGTGTTTACTTCCGCTGGTCGGAAGGAACGCTAGCAGTCAGGATTCGGGTTGTAGGTGCTCCCCACCGCCTACTGTGGTAGTCAGCCTCGGTATAACAGTGGTAACGTATTACTTAATGTAATTTGTAGAATTTTCCTATTTGGAATATTCTATAAGTAATACGTTACCACTGGGCTGCTGCCCGCCCGTCCATCCCCCGAGCACTTGCTCTCGCAGGAGACAAGAGTGAAGGGTGTCACATGGCAGCTGGGTGGCCACGCACGTGCTGCATGAGGTAATTGAGATCTCTGTGGTAGATTTCGCTATAGCAGCAGTTGTGGGAGACAACAGCCTCGGTATAACAGTGGTAACGTATTACTTATAGAATATTCCGAATAGGAAAATTCTACAATTTACCCCCCGTTGTGTGGGCACATGTACAGTGCTGGTGTTGTGTTTCAGGAGTCATTCGACTACATCGGCTCAAGTCGTATGGTTTATGACATGGACTCCAACTCTACCCAGTTCCCCCAGGAGATCAATGAGAAGGTCGTGAGTCTCCAGGAGATCCGACTTGACGACATTCACAGCTTCGTGGAGGTCAGCCAGGTGGGGCTGCGAGATCAGGGCAAGCTTTGGATACACACCGACCCAATCACTAGACCCAAGCTGCAGGATCCCACTCAGGTAAAAGGGGCAAGTGAGGATACTGAAGTCCTTCCTGTGTCATGCTGCAGGATCCCACTCAGGTAAAAGGGGCAAGTGAGGATACACACCGACCCCATCACTAGACCCAAGCTGCAGGATCCCACTCAGGTAAAAGGGGCAAGTGAGGATACTGAAGTCCTTCCTGTGTCATGCTGCAGGATCCCACTCAGGTAAAAGGGGCAAGTGAGGATACTGAAGTCCTTCCTGTGTCATGCTGCAGGATCCCACTCAGGTAAAAGGGGCAAGTGAGGATACTGAAGTCCTGCCTGTGTCATGCTGCAGGATCCCACTCAGGTAAAAGGGGCAAGTGAGGGTACTGAAGTCCTGCCTGTGTCATGCTGCAGGATCCCACTCAGGTAAAAGGGGCAAGTGAGGATACTGAAGTCCTACCTGTGTCATGCTGTAGGATCCCACTCAGGTAAAAGGGGCAAGTGATGATACTGAAGTCCTTCCTGTGTCATGCTGCAGGATCCCACTCAGTTTAAGGGGCAAGTGAGGATACTGAAGTCCTTCCTGTGTCATGCTGCAGGATCCCACTCAGGTAAAAGGGGCAAGTGAGGGTACTGAAGTCCTACCTGTGTCATGCTGCAGGATCCCACTCAGGTAAAAGGGGCAAGTGAGGATACTGAAGTCCTGCCTGTGTCATGCACCAGGATCCCACTCAGGTAAAAGGGGCAAGTGAGGATACTGAAGTCCTGCCTGTGTCATGCTGCAGGATCCAACTCAGGTAAAAGGGGCAAGTGAGGATACTGAAGTCCTGCCTGTGTCATGCTGCAGGATCCCACTCAGGTAAAAGGGGCAAGTGAGGATACTGAAGTCCTGCCTGTGTCATGCTGCAGGATCCCACTCAGGTAAAAGGGGCAAGTGAGGATACTGAGCTCTACCTTTGTCATGCCGCAGGATCCCACTCAGGAAATAGGGGCAAGTGAGGGTACTGAAGTCCTGTCTGTGTCATGCTGCAGGATCCCACTCAGGTAAAAGGGGCAAGTGAGGATACTGAAGTCCTACCTGTGTCATGCTGTAGGATCCCACTCAGGTAAAAGGGGCAAGTGAGGATACTGAAGTCCTACCTGTGTCAAGCTGCAGGATCCCACTCAGGTAAAAGGGGCAAGTGAGGATACTGAAGTCCTACCTGTGTCAAGCTGTAGGATCCCACTCAGGTAAAAGGGGCAAGTGAGGATACTGAAGTCCTGCCTGTGTCATGCTGCAGGATCCCACTCAGGTAAAAGGGGCAAGTGAGGATACTGAAGTCCTACCTGTGTCATGCTGTAGGATCCCACTCAGGTAAAAGGGGCAAGTGAGGATACTGAAGTCCTACCTGTGTCAAGCTGCAGGATCCCACTCAGGTAAAAGGGGCAAGTGAGGATACTGAAGTCCTGTCTGTGTCATGCTGCAGGATCCCACTCAGGTAAAAGGGGCAAGTGAGGGTACTGAAGTCCTGTCTGTGTCATGCTGCAGGATCCCACTCAGGTAAATGGGGCAAGTGAGGGTACTGAAGTCCTACCTGTGTCATGCTGCCGGATCCCACTCAGGTAAAAGGGGCAAGTGAGGATACTGAAGTCCTACCTGTGTCATGCTGCAGGATCCCACTCAGGTAAAAGGGGCAAGTGAGGATACTGAAGTCCTGCCTGTGTCATGCTGCAGGATCCCACTCAGGTAAAAGGGGCAAGTGAGGATACTGAAGTCCTACCTGTGTCATGCTGCAGGATCCCACTCAGGTAAAAGGGGCAAGTGAGGATACTGAAGTCCTGCCTGTGTCATGCTGCAGGATCCAACTCAGGTAAAAGGGGCAAGTGAGGATACTGAAGTCCTGCCTGTGTCATGCTGCAGGATCCCACTCAGGTAAAAGGGGCAAGTGAGGATACACACCGACCCCATCACTAGACCCAAGCTGCAGGATCCCACTCAGGTAAAAGGGGCAAGTGAGGATACTGAAGTCCTTCCTGTGTCATGCTGCAGGATCCCACTCAGGTAAAAGGGGCAAGTGAGGATACACACCGACCCCATCACTAGACCCAAGCTGCAGGATCCCACTCAGGTAAAAGGGGCAAGTGAGGATACTGAAGTCCTTCCTGTGTCATGCTGCAGGATCCCACTCAGGTAAAAGGGGCAAGTGAGGATACTGAAGTCCTTCCTGTGTCATGCTGCAGGATCCCACTCAGGTAAAAGGGGCAAGTGAGGATACTGAAGTCCTGCCTGTGTCATGCTGCAGGATCCCACTCAGGTAAAAGGGGCAAGTGAGGGTACTGAAGTCCTGCCTGTGTCATGCTGCAGGATCCCACTCAGGTAAAAGGGGCAAGTGAGGATACTGAAGTCCTACCTGTGTCATGCTGTAGGATCCCACTCAGGTAAAAGGGGCAAGTGATGATACTGAAGTCCTTCCTGTGTCATGCTGCAGGATCCCACTCAGTTTAAGGGGCAAGTGAGGATACTGAAGTCCTTCCTGTGTCATGCTGCAGGATCCCACTCAGGTAAAAGGGGCAAGTGAGGGTACTGAAGTCCTACCTGTGTCATGCTGCAGGATCCCACTCAGGTAAAAGGGGCAAGTGAGGATACTGAAGTCCTGCCTGTGTCATGCACCAGGATCCCACTCAGGTAAAAGGGGCAAGTGAGGATACTGAAGTCCTGCCTGTGTCATGCTGCAGGATCCAACTCAGGTAAAAGGGGCAAGTGAGGATACTGAAGTCCTGCCTGTGTCATGCTGCAGGATCCCACTCAGGTAAAAGGGGCAAGTGAGGATACTGAAGTCCTGCCTGTGTCATGCTGCAGGATCCCACTCAGGTAAAAGGGGCAAGTGAGGATACTGAGCTCTACCTTTGTCATGCCGCAGGATCCCACTCAGGAAATAGGGGCAAGTGAGGGTACTGAAGTCCTGTCTGTGTCATGCTGCAGGATCCCACTCAGGTAAAAGGGGCAAGTGAGGATACTGAAGTCCTACCTGTGTCATGCTGTAGGATCCCACTCAGGTAAAAGGGGCAAGTGAGGATACTGAAGTCCTACCTGTGTCAAGCTGCAGGATCCCACTCAGGTAAAAGGGGCAAGTGAGGATACTGAAGTCCTACCTGTGTCAAGCTGTAGGATCCCACTCAGGTAAAAGGGGCAAGTGAGGATACTGAAGTCCTGCCTGTGTCATGCTGCAGGATCCCACTCAGGTAAAAGGGGCAAGTGAGGATACTGAAGTCCTACCTGTGTCATGCTGCCGGATCCCACTCAGGTAAAAGGGGCAAGTGAGGATACTGAAGTCCTACCTGTGTCAAGCTGCAGGATCCCACTCAGGTAAAAGGGGCAAGTGAGGATACTGAAGTCCTGTCTGTGTCATGCTGCAGGATCCCACTCAGGTAAAAGGGGCAAGTGAGGGTACTGAAGTCCTGTCTGTGTCATGCTGCAGGATCCCACTCAGGTAAATGGGGCAAGTGAGGGTACTGAAGTCCTACCTGTGTCATGCTGCCGGATCCCACTCAGGTAAAAGGGGCAAGTGAGGATACTGAAGTCCTACCTGTGTCATGCTGCAGGATCCCACTCAGGTAAAAGGGGCAAGTGAGGATACTGAAGTCCTGCCTGTGTCATGCTGCAGGATCCCACTCAGGTAAAAGGGGCAAGTGAGGATACTGAAGTCCTACCTGTGTCATGCTGCAGGATCCCACTCAGGTAAAAGGGGCAAGTGAGGATACTGAAGTCCTGTCTGTGTTATGCTGCAGGATCCCACTCAGGTAAAAGGGGCAAGTGAGGATACTGAAGTCCTACCTGTGTCATGCTGTAGGATCCCTCTCAGGTAAAAGGGGCAAGTGAGGGTACTGAAGTCCTACCTGTGTCATGCTGCCGGAACTCACTCAGGTAAAAGGGGCAAGTGAGGGTACTGAAGTCCTACCTGTGTCATGCTGCCGGATCCCACTCAGGTAAAAGGGGCAAGTGAGGATACTGAAGTCCTACCTGTGTCATGCTGTAGGATCCCACTCAGGTAAAAGGGGCAAGTGAGGATACTGAAGTCCTTCCTGTGTCATGCTGCAGGATCCCACTCAGGTAAAAGGGGCAAGTGAGGATACTGAAGTCCTACCTGTGTCATGCTGCAGGATCCCACTCAGGTAAAAGGGGCAAGTGAGGATACTGAAGTCCTACCTGTGTCATGCTGCAGGATCCCACTCAGGTAAAAGGGGCAAGTGAGGATACTGAAGTCCTACCTGTGTCATGCTGCAGGGCCATGTGTCGATGTACAAAGTAGGTTTTTTTCAGTCCAGCAGGAGCCTTGGGTGGCGGAGTCATGTGGTCCTGGAATTTGCTTTGCAGAGCTGGTTCCTTCCGCACCATACCCCGTGCTCCTGGGATTCACTATAGTGGTCAATGCAAGGTCTTTGCATCTAGAGTATTAATGGTGATATAAAAAAAATTCTAGTCAAGTAATCCTTTTTCAGTTATCGTGATATCTACCATGTACATGTGTTCCATCAATCCTCGGTGTCTACATTCCCTTGGACATGTTGTGTCTTGTTTCTCCTCACGCAGCTGTCCGACATGATCCAGTCCCTCAAGTCCATCGGGTTGGGGCTGGGTGTTGACCTTGCCAATGTGACGGAGGATACGCCGCTCCCCCCAGCCTCGGTCCAGAGGTTCCTGATGAAGGCCAACATTCCCGCCATCGTCCTCACTGACCACGAGAAGCAGTTCACCAACAAGTAAGTCTCATGCATGTCATCAGTAAGTCCTTGCATTGTGGCACAAGGATAGATGTTTCATTGTCCATACATGACCTGGAGGGTTGACCAGCAGCAGACATGACCTGGAAGGTTGACCTGCAGCAGACATGACCTGGAAGGTTGACCTGCAGCAGACATGACCTGAAAGGTTGGCCTGCAGCAGACATGACCTGGAGGGTTGACCTGCAGCAGACATGACCTGGAGGGTTGACCTGCAGCAGACATGACCTGGAGGGTTGACCTGCAGCAGACATGACCTGTAGGGTTGACCTGCAGCAGACATGGCCTGGAAGGTTGACCTGCAGCAGACATGACCTGGAAGGTTGACCTGCAGCAGACATGACCTTGAGGGTTGACCTGCAGCAGACATGACCAGGATGGTTGACCTGCAGCAGACATGACTTGGAGGGTTGACCTGCAGCAGACATGACCTGGAGGGTTGACCTGCAGCAGACATGACTTGGAGGGTTGACCTGCAGCAGACATGACCTGGAAGGTTGACCTGCAGCAGACATGACCTTGAGGGTTGACCTGCAGCAGACATGACCAGGATGGTTGACCTGCAGCAGACATGACTTGGAGGGTTGACCTGCAGCAGACATGACCTGGAAGGTTGACCTGCAGCAGACATGACTTGGAGGGTTGACCTGCAGCAGACATGACCTGGAGGGTTGACCTGAAGCAGACATGACCGGGAAGGTTGACCTGCAGCAGACATGACCTGGAGGGTTGACCTGCAGCAGACATGACCTGGAGGGTTGACCTGCAGCAGACATGACCAGGATGGTTAACCCAGCAGCAGACATGACCTGGAAGGTTAGCTACTCTCAGTAGTAGTTATGACAGTGGATTGTTGAAAGATCCACTGGCAACAGTTTGTTTTGCCCCAATGACAATCTTTGATCTGTCAGCTACATGTTTGTGGTAAACATCCATGACTTGACATCTTGGTTTATCCAAACCCATTATGCTGACATGTTTATCTTTAACTCGGAACTGCTGTAAGCTGCCTGAAACCAGCTGACTGTCTCCCATTGCAGGTACTACAACAGCCGCTTTGACCTTCCCTCTAAGATTAATGTGTCCGACCACGGCAACCAGTCGGACCCGTCGGACGACACACAGACTCAGTCTCTCACAGACCTAGCCACCACTCTTGCTCAATTCCTGTACAAACTCTCGACTGGCAAGGACGCCCCCAGCTCTCTCAAGGCAAATAAGGACACAGTGAGTTATCTCCCTTGCACCTGTCATCCAATCTGTTTCCTAATCTGTCATGACGCATTTGTTTTCGTGTTCATTAAGGTGCGCGGTATTACCGGTTTATCGGAAAATTGAGGTTCGTTCTTTCCACAATACATATCAAAATTTCATTTTTAAAGGGAAGTAAATTGGGTGGATTCAAATTTTATCATGTGTTTTAAGTTATACACTTTGAAATACCTTTGAAATGCTTCTGTAATTCCAAAGGAATCTGCATGCGCATACTTACACTTCCGTCGTCAACTTGAATTGCGTATGCAGCCGATTCGAAGGGTAATAAGAGGGCTGTGATGTAAGTGATGACTGAGTGTTTGCCTGTCCAGGTGGAGAGTCTCCTCCAGTGCTTCCTCTACAACCAACACTGTGAGCTGTTCCGCAGAAGCATCGACCCAGATGATGCCGAAAGTCTGGGTACGTACTCTCATGGTACTGGAGGTACATAAACAGTGTTTGTAACCATGGTAACTGACATATTAGACCACACTGGTTGAGATATAGTACTTGACTGTCACTTCTCAAGACAGCATCTGGAGATGCCACCCAGGATGGTTTAGTCATAATTGGTATGAAAAGTGTTAGTAATAATAATATGGCTATTTAGTTGGTGCCATACCTCTACACCACGAAGGGGCATGCTCAAGGCGCATACAGACGACATGAAACACACAAAATATATATATACAAAGTAACAAGAGAAAAAGAGAAGCAGAGATCCATAGTGAAGCAGAGATCAACAGTGAAGCAGAGATCCATGGTGAAGCAGAGATCCATAGTGAAGCAGAGATCCATAGTGGAACAGAGATCCATGGTGAAGCAGAGATCCATAGTGAAGCAGAGATCCATAGTGAAGCAGAGATCCATAGTGAAGCAGAGATCCATAGTGAAACAGAGATCCATGGTGAAGCAGAGATCCACGGTGAAGCAGAGATCTACGGTGAAGCAGAGATCCATAGTGAAGCAGAGATCCATAGTGCAACAGAGATCCACAGTGAAGCAGAGATCCACAGTGAAGCAGAGATCCATAGTGAAACAGAGATCCATAGTGAAGCAGAGATCCATAGTGAAGCAGAGATCCATAGTGAAGCAGAGATCCATAGTGAAACAGAGATCCATGGTGAAGCAGAGATCCATAGTGAAACAGAGATTCATGGTGAAGCAGAGATCCACGGTGAAGCAGAGATCTATAGTGAAGCAGAGATCCATAGTGAAGCAGAGATCCATAGTGCAACAGAGATCCACAGTGAAGCAGAGATCCACAGTGAAGCAGAGATCCAAAGTGAAACAGAGATCCATAGTGAAGCAGAGATCCATAGTGAAACAGAGATCCATGGTGAAGCAGAGATCCATGGTGAAGCAGAGATCCACGGTGAAGCAGAGATCCATAGTGAAGCAGAGATCCATAGTGAAGCAGAGATCCATAGTGAAACAGAGATCCATAGTGAAGCAGAGATCCATGGTGAAGCAGAGATCCATAGTGAAACAGAGATCCATAGTGAAGCAGAGATCCATAGTGAAGCAGAGATCCATAGTGAAACAGATCCATAGTGAAGCAGAGATCCATAGTGAAACAGAGATCCATAGTGAAGCAGAGATCCAAAGTGAAACAGATCCATAGTGAAACAGAGATCCATAGTGAAGCAGAGATCCATAGTGAAACAGAGATCCATAGTGAAGCAGAGATCCATAGTGAAACAGAGATCCATGGTGAAGCAGAGATCCACGGTGAAGCAGAGATCTACGGTGAAGCAGAGATCCATAGTGAAGCAGAGATCCATAGTGCAACAGAGATCCACAGTGAAGCAGAGATCCACATTGAAGCAGAGATCCATAGTGAAACAGAGATCCATAGTGAAGCAGATATCCATAGTGAAACAGAGATCCATAGTGAAACAGAGATCCATAGTGAAGCAGAGATCCAAAGTGAAACAGATCCATAGTGAAACAGAGATCCATAGTGAAGCAGAGATCCATAGTGAAGCAGAGATCCATAGTGAAGCAGAGATCCATAGTGAAACAGATCCATAGTGAAGCAGAGATCCATAGTGAAGCAGAGATCCATGGTAAGGCAGAGATCCAAGAGAACCAAGACTGGAGTGACCCAAGACTGGAGTTACCCAAGACTGGAGTGTCCCAAGACTGGAGTGACCCAAGACTGGAGTGACCCAAGACTGGAGTTACCCAAGACTGGAGTGTCCCAAGACTGGAGTGTCCCAAGACTGGAGTGACCCAAGACTGGAGTGACCCAAGACTGGAGTGTCCCAAGACTGGAGTGACCCAAGACTGGAGTGACCCAAGACTGGAGTGTCCCAAGACTGGAGTTAATCAAGACTGGAGTTACCCAAGACTGGAGTGACCCAAGACTGGAGTGTCCCAAGACTGGAGTAAATCAAGACTGGAGTTACCCAAGACTGGAGTGACCCAAGACTGGAGTTAATCAAGACTGGAGTGTCCCAAGACTGGAGTGACCCAAGACTGGAGTGACCCAAGACTGGAGTGACCCAAGACTGGAGTGTCCCAAGACTGGAGTGTCCCAAGACTGGAGTGTCCCAAGACTGGAGTTAATCAAGACTGGAGTTAATCAAGACTGGAGTTAATCAAGACTGGAGTGACCCAAGACTGGAGTTAATCAAGACTGGAGTTACCCAAGACTGGAGTGACCCAAGACTGGAGTGACCCAAGACTGGAGTGTCCCAAGACTGGAGTTAATCAAGACTGGAGTTACCCAAGACTGGAGTTAATCAAGACTGGAGTGTCCCAAGACTGGAGTTAATCAAGACTGGAGTGACCCAAGACTGGAGTGACCCAAGACTGGAGTGACCCAAGACTGGAGTGACCCAAGACTGGAGTGTCCCAAGACTGGAGTTAATCAAGACTGGAGTTACCCAAGACTGGAGTGACCCAAGACTGGAGTGACCCAAGACTGGAGTGTCCCAAGACTGGAGTGACCCAAGACTGGAGTTAATCAAGACTGGAGTGACCCAAGACTGGAGTTAATCAAGCCTCGAGTGACCCAAGACTGGAGTGACCCAAGACTGGAGTGACCCAAGACTGGAGTGTCCCAAGACTGGAGTGACCCAAGACTGGAGTGACCCAAGACTGGAGTTAATCAAGACTGGAGTGACCCAAGACTGGAGTTAATCAAGACTGGAGTGACCCAAGACTGGAGTGACCCAAGACTGGAGTGACCCAAGACTGGAGTGACCCAAGACTGGAGTGACCCAAGACTGGAGTGTCCCAAGACTGGAGTTAATCAAGACTGGAGTGACCCAAGACTGGAGTGACCCAAGACTGGAGTGACCCAAGACTGGAGTGACCCAAGACTGGAGTGACCCAAGACTGGAGTGACCCAAGACTGGAGTGTCCCAAGACTGGAGTTAATCAAGACTGGAGTGACCCAAGACTGGAGTGACCCAAGACTGGAGTGACCCAAGACTGGAGTGACCCAAGACTGGAGTTAATCAAGACTGGAGTGACCCAAGACTGGAGTGAACCAAGACTGGAGTTAATCAAGACTGGAGTGACCCAAGACTGGAGTGTCCCAAGACTGGAGTGACCCAAGACTGGAGTGACCCAAGACTGGAGTGACCCAAGACTGGAGTTAATCAAGACTGGAGTGACCCAAGACTGGAGTGAACCAAGTCTGGAGTGAACCAAGCCTGGAGAGTCCCAGGAGAGGGAGACGTTGTTTAGTGAGGAAGCGAGACATGGTTTATTTAGGGATGTTGATTAGAGGGAGGCATTGGTTTGGTATTCACAGGCTGCCCAGTTGAGTTTCTATTTCATTTGCAGAGAAGGCCAAGAAGCCATTCCCCTTCTATGTGAGTGTGAATGTGAACACTAACCAGGTGACTACCTTGACCCATCACATCCTGGCACAGTACCTGGGGGAGAAAGTCAACACTTCTAAAGACAGCTGTAAAGCTCCAGACAATGATAAGGTGTGTGTGGAGCTTTGAATTGTCAGTCCCTACGTCATTCTAGTGAGACATCCTTGAGATGTGGAGATTGACTTTGCCAAATTCTATTTTCTATAGACAAGTTTTAGATACAGTTTTTAGTGAGTCAGTTTTCCAATAAATAGCATTTTTACCAAATTGTTGACCCTCTTAGATACCATAGATGTATAAGTACTATAAATTTCTTGTTCATATAAACATTGGTATTTGGTGATATTATATGTTCAACAAACCTTTCATTTCTGTCATTGTGAGGAAATTATTTCAGCTGTTAAGTTTTATCTGCCTTCAGACACATCAGTTTCTGTGGATACAAGGAAACTTGAAACCCAATGCAACTGACAACTCTCGAGTAGGAGCCTGTATAAAGTCTACCACCATGTTGACAACAGCTAAGTCTCCAGCGTTTGATATTGATGGTAAGTAAAACAGCAATTGAGTAGGAGCCTGTACAAAGTCTACCACCATAACGTTTTCACAACAAATTGGATGGTGCTACTTGTTTCTTGCCTCTTACCCTTTGAAGGCTGCTGCCCTGTGTCAGACTAGTCCCAGGCCAGTTGCCTGTTATCCTTTGAAGGCTGCTGCCCTGTGTCAGACTAGTCCCACTCAGGCCGATTGCCTGTTACCCTTTGAAGGCTGCTGCTCTGTGTCAGGCTAGTCCCACTCAGGCCAGTTGCCTGTTATCCTTTGAAGGCTGCTGCTCTGTGTCAGGCTAGTCCCACTCAGACCAGTTGCCTGTTACCCTTTGAAGGCTGCTGCCCTGTGTCAGACTAGTCCCAGGCCAGTTGCCTGTTATCCTTTGAAGGCTGCTGCCCTGTGTCAGACTCGTCCCACTCAGGCCAGTTGCCTGTTACCCTTTGAAGGCTGCTGCCCTGTGTCAGGCTAGTCCCACTCAGGCCAGTTGCCTGTTATCCTTTGAAGGCTGCTGCTCTGTGTCAGACTAGTCCCACTCAGGCCAGTTGCCTGTTACCCTTTGAAGGCTGCTGCCCTGTGTCAGACTAGTCCCACTCAGGCCAGTTGCCTGTTACCCTTTGAAGGCTGCTGCTCTGTGTCAGACTAGTCCCACTCAGGCCAGTTGCCTGTTATCCTTTGAAGGCTGCTGCCCTGTGTCAGACTAGTCCCACTCAGGCCAGTTGCCTGTTACCCTTTGAAGGCTGCTGCTCTGTGTCAGACTAGTCCCACTCAGGCCAGTTGCCTGTTACCCTTTGAAGGCTGCTGCTCTGTGTCAGGCTAGTCCCACTCAGGACAGTTGCCTGTTATCCTTTGAAGGCTGCTGCTCTGTGTCAGACTAGTCCCAGGCCAGTTGCCTGTTATCCTTTGAAGGCTGCTGCTCTGTGTCAGACTAGTCCCACTCAGGCCAGTTGCCTGTTACCCTTTGAAGGCTGCTGCTCTGTGTCAGGCTAGTCCCACTCAGGACAGTTGCCTGTTATCCTTTGAAGGCTGCTGCTCTGTGTCAGACTAGTCCCACTCAGACCAGTTGCCTGTTATCCTTTGAAGGCTGCTGCTCTTTTTCAGACTAGTCCCACTCAGACCAGTTGCCTGTTATCCTTTGAAGGCTGCTGCTCTGTGTCAGACTAGTCCCACTCAGGCCAGTTGCCTGTTATCCTTTGAAGGCTGCTGCTCTTTGTCAGACTAGTCCCACTCAGGCCAGTTGCCTGTTATCCTTTGAAGGCTGCTGCTCTGTGTCAGACTAGTCCCAGGCCAGTTGCCTGTTATCCTTTGAAGGCTGCTGCTCTTTGTCAGACTAGTCCCACTCAGGCCAGTTGCCTGTTACCCTTTGAAGGCTGCTGCTCTGTGTCAGGCTAGTCCCACTCAGGACAGTTGCCTGTTATCCTTGAAGGCTGCTGCTCTGTGTCAGACTAGTCCCACTCAGACCAATTGCCTGTTATCCTTTGAAGGCTGCTGCCCTGTGTCAGACTAGTCCCACTCAGGCCAGTTGCGTGTTACCCTTTGAAGGCTGCTGCTCTGTGTCAGACTAGTCCCACTCAGACCAATTGCCTGTTATCCTTTGAAGGCTGCTGCTCTGTGTCAGACTAGTCCCAGGCCAGTTGCGTTATACCCTTTGAAGGCTGCTGCTCTGTGTCAGACTAGTCCCACTCAGACCAGTTGCCTCTTACCCTTTGAAGGCTGTTGCCCTGTGTCAGACTAGTCCCACTTAGGCCAGTTGCCTCTTGCCGTTTGAAGGCTGCTGCCCTGTGTCAGACTAGTCCCACTCAGACCAGTTGCCTCTTACCCTTTGAAGGCTGCTGCTCTGTGTCAGACTAGTCCCACTCAGACCAGTTGCCTCTTACCCTTTGAAGGCTGTTGCCCTGTGTCAGACTAGTCCCACTTAGGCCAGTTGCCTCTTGCCGTTTGAAGGCTGCTGCCCTGTGTCAGACTAGTCCCACTCAGGCCAGTTGCGTGTTACCCTTTGAAGGCTGCTGCCCTGTGTCAGACTAGTCCCACTTAGGCCAGTTGCCTCTATTTGCTAGGCCCATGGTCTGCCCTGGAGTCCCCCATGGAGCAGGCAGTGATATGTGTGACTGTGTTACAGACTATGACTGGCTCTCAGGCACATACTCTACATGGACGGAGAGTGTATGGGAACCTCTCAAAGTCAGGATATTCCTCGTCCCTAGTCAACAGTTCCAGGTAGGAATAACAGCCATATTCTTTTCATTTACATACATTTTGGATTTCTCGTTTTCAATGCAACATCAATTTCTTGTTTCTCTTCCTTTTCTGTATGACCTCTGACCTTTGATACTTAACAGCATTTCTGCATCAGCTTTCTTCAAAGCATTTCTCCTAAACCTTGTAGTAAGTGATGTGGTCGGTTAACTTCAGTGACAACTAAAATGGGAAGAAGGTGTAGTATTGTGGGGTTAACTTCAGTGACAACTCAAAGGGAAGAAGGTGTAGTGTAGTGGTGTTAACTTCAGTGACAACTCAAAGGGAAGAAGGTGTAGTGTAGTGTGGTTAACTTCAGTGACGACTCAAAGGGAAGAAGGTGTAGTGTAGTGGGGTTAACTTCAGTGACAACTCAAAGGGAAGCAGGTGTAGTGTAGTGTGGTTAACTTCAGTGACAACTCAAAGGGAAGAAGGTGTAGTGTAGTGGGGTTCACATCAGTGACAACTCAAAGGGAAGAAGGTGTAGTGTAGTGGGGTTAACTTCAGTGACAACTCAAAGGGAAGAAGGTGTAGTGTAGTGGGGTTAACTTCAGTGACAACTCAAAGGGAAGAAGGTGTAGTGTAGTGGGGTTAACTTCAGTAGCAACACAAAGGGAAGAAGGTGTAGTGTAGTGTGGTTAACTTCAGTGACAACTCAAAGGGAAGAAGGTGTAGTGTAGTTTGGTTAACTTCAGTGACAACTCCAAGGGAAGCAGGTGTAGTGTAGTGTGGTTAACTTCAGTGACAACTCAAAGGGAAGAAGGTGTAGTGTAGTGGGGTTCACATCAGTGACAACTCAAAGGGAAGAAGGTGTAGTGTAGTGGGGTTAACTTCAGTGACAACTCAAAGGGAAGAAGGTGTAGTGTAGCCGGGTTAACTTCAGTGACAACGCAAAGGGAAGAAGGTGTAGTGTAGTGTGGTTAACTTCAGTGACGACTCAAAGGGAAGAAGGTGTAGTGTAGTGGGGTTAACTTCAGTGACAACGCAAAGGGAAGAAGGTGTAGTGTAGTGGGGTAAACATCAGTGACAACTCAAAGGGAAGAAGATGTAGTGTAGTGGGGTTAACTTCAGTGACAACTCAAAGGGAAGAAGGTGTAGTGTAGTGGGGTTAACTTCAGTAACAACGCAAAGGGAAGAAGGTGTAGTGTAGTGGGGTTAACTTCAGTGATGACTCAAAGGGAAGAAGGTGTAGTGTAGTGGGGTTAACTTCAGTGATGACTCAAAGGGAAGAAGGTGTAGTGTAGTGGGGTTAACTTCAGTAACAACGCAAAGGGAAGAAGGTGTAGTGTAGTGGGGTTAACTTCAGTGATGACTCAAAGGGAAGAAGGTGTAGTGTAGTGGGGTTAACTTCAGTGATGACTTAAAGGGAAGAAGGTGTAGTGTAGTGGGGTTAACTTCAGTGACGACACAAAGGGAAGAAGGTGTAGTGTAGTGGGGTTAACTTCAGTGACAACTCAAAGGGAAGAAGGTGTAGTGTAGTGGGGTTAACTGCAGTGACGACACAAAGGGAAGAAGGTGTAGTGTAGTGGGGTTAACTTCAGTGACGACTCAAAGGGAAGAAGGTGTAGTGTAGTGGGGTTAACTTCAGTGATGACTTAAAGGGAAGAAGGTGTAGTGTGGTTAACTTCAGTGACGACTCAATGGGAAGAAGGTGTAGTGTAGTGGGGTTAACTTCAGTGACAACTCAAAGGGAAGAAGGTGTAGTGTAGTGGTGTTAACTTCAGTGACAACTCAAAGGGAAGAAGGTGTAGTGTAGTGTGGTTAACTTCAGTGACGACTCAAAGGGAAGAAGGTGTAGTGTAGTGTGGTTAACTTCAGTGACAACTCAAAGGGAAGCAGGTGTAGTGTAGTGTGGTTAACTTCAGTGACAACTCAAAGGGAAGAAGGTGTAGTGTAGTGGGGTTCACATCAGTGACAACTCAAAGGGAAGAAGGTGTAGTGTAGTGGGGTTAACTTCAGTGACAACTAAAAATGAAGAAGGTGTAGTGTAGTGGGGTTAACTTCAGTGACAACTCAAAGGGAAGAAGGTGTAGTGTAGTGGGGTTAACTTCAGTAACAACACAAAGGGAAGAAGGTGTAGTGTAGTGTGGTTAACTTCAGTGACAACTCAAAGGGAAGAAGGTGTAGTGTAGTTTGGTTAACTTCAGTGACAACTCAAAGAGAAGAAGGTGTAGTGTAGCCGGGTTAACTTCAGTGACAACGCAAAGGGAAGAAGGTGTAGTGTAGTGTGGTTAACTTCAGTGACAACTCAAAGAGAAGAAGGTGTAGTGTAGCCGGGTTAACTTCAGTGACAACGCAAAGGGAAGAAGGTGTAGTGTAGTGGGGTTAACATCAGTGACAACTCAAAGGGAAGAAGATGTAGTGTAGTGGGGTTAACTTCAGTGACAACTCAAAGGGAAGAAGGTGTAGTGTAGTGGGGTTAACTTCAGTAACAACGCAAAGGGAAGAAGGTGTAGTGTAGTGGGGTTCACTTCAGTGATGACTCAAAGGGAAGAAGGTGTAGTGTAGTGTGGTTAACTTCAGTGATGACTCAAAGGGAAGAAGGTGTAGTGTAGTGGGGTTAACTTCAGTAACAACGCAAAGGGAAGAAGGTGTAGTGTAGTGGGGTTAACTTCAGTGATGACTCAAAGGGAAGAAGGTGTAGTGTAGTGGGGTTAACTTCAGTGATGACTTAAAGGGAAGAAGGTGTAGTGTAGTGTGGTTAACTTCAGTGATGACTCAAAGGGAAGAAGGTGTAGTGTAGTGGGGTTAACTTCAGTGATGACTTAAAGGGAAGAAGGTGTAGTGTAGTGGGGTTAACTTCAGTGATGACTTAAAGGGAAGAAGGTGTAGTGTGGTTAACTTCAGTGATGACTCAAAGGGAAGAAGGTGTAGTGTAGTGTGGTTAACTTCAGTGACGACTCAAAGGGAAGAAGGTGTAGTGTAGTGGGGTTATCTTTAGTGACAACGCAAAGGGAAGAAGGTGTAGTGTAGTGGGGTTAACTTCAGTGACAACTGAAAGGGAAGAAGGTGTAGTGTAGTGGGGTTAACTTCAGTGACAACTCAAAGGGAAGAAGGTGTAGTGTAGTGGGGTTAACTTCAGTAACAACACAAAGGGAAGAAGGTGTAGTGTAGTGGGGTTAACTTCAGTGATGACTCAAAGGGAAGAAGGTGTAGTGTAGTGGGGTTAACTTCAGTGATGACTTAAAGGGAAGAAGTTGTAGTGTAGTTGGGTTAACTTCAATGACAACTCAAAGGGAAGAAGGTGTAGTGTAGTGGGGTTAACATCAGTGGCAACTCAAAGGGAAGAAGGTGTAGTGTAGTGGGGTTAACTTTAGTGACAACTCAAAGGGAAGAAGGTGTAGTGTAGTGGGGTTAACTTCAGTAAGAACGCAAAGGGAAGAAGGTGTAGTGTAGTGGGGTTAACTTCAGTGACGACACAAAGGGAAGAAGGTGTAGTGTAGTGGGGTTAACTTCAGTGACGACACAAAGGGAAGAAGGTGTAGTGTAGTGGGGTTAACTTCAGTGACGACACAAAGGGAAGAAGGTGTAGTGTAGTGGGGTTAACTTCAGTGACGACTCAAAGAGTAGAAGGTGTAGTGTAGTGGGGTTAACTTTAGTGACAACTCAAAGGGAAGAAGGTGTAGTGTAGTGTGGTTAACTTCAGTGACGACTCAAAGGGAAGAAGGTGTAGTGTAGTGGGGTTAACTGCAGTGACGACACAAAGGGAAGAAGGTGTAGTGTAGTGGGGTTAACTTCAGTGACAACGCAAAGGGAAGAAGGTGTAGTGTAGTGGGGTTAACTTCAATGATGACTTAAAGGAAAGAAGGTGTAGTGTAGTGTGGTTAACTTCAGTGACGACTCAAAGGGAAGAAGGTGTAGTGTAGTGGGGTTAACTTCAGTGACGACTCAAAGGGAAGAAGGTGTAGTGTAGTGGGGTTAACTTTAGTGACAACGCAAAGGGAAGAAGGTGTAGTGTAGTGGGGTTAACTTCAGTGACAACTCAAAGAGTAGAAGGTGTAGTGGGGTTAAATCCAGTGACAACTCCCAAAACACTGATATTTGAAAGTAGGCTTTCTCAGAAAAGACTAGGAATATTTCTAGAACAGTTTGTGAAACAATCCCTGTGGATAGAGAGTTAAGCATGTGTGGTGTATGAAGAGTCCAGGTGAAGGGTTTGCTGTACCCCTCCTGGTGTCTGTAGAGAACAACAGCAGTTGTTAATGTATCAGAAGTCTTCACTGTACGTCTGTAGGCTGTAGCTTCCACAATGTTTTATGTGTATCCTTCATGTGAAACTATGATGACTTAGAGCCTCGGTGACCTACGATTTGAATTTGAATCATGTATATATAGGAAGACTCATAAATGTAATGTCTGTTAACTGTCTAGTGGTCTTGTTAATCATGTATATCTATACTGTCAATTTCCTTGTACTCATCATCGTCATAACTATCTTATGTGGGCACAAGATTGGATTTTATGTATCATCGTAACAGATTCACACACCTGCTCAGCTTCAACTTGTCTATGGTATCTGCATTGTATATTTGCTGTTGCCATGGTTACCATGTAACCTTTACCTACCACTGAGTATCAGTTTGTGTCATTCTGCTTTCATTATATTGAATTTAGCTGTTTTGTAGTGCTGTGTTAACTCGTAGCATATATAAGTTGAGAAAAGTGTCCAGGTCTTGATGTGTAAGGTTTCATTCAATACATGTTTGTCCTGGAAATGGATTCGTTATAACATGCTGTGGGAGTTTTAAAACACTTTGGTAATTTCATCATTTGGTGGTGTTTCCATGACAACAATAAAATCAAAATTGGACTCCATGACTAGCTTTGGGTGACTTTGGCAATAACTTGGCATTTGAAATCATGCAATTTTCCGATTCTCCAAACCTTAACAAGCATGGTGAAGGTTGTTTTCAAATAGCAGCTGCTATGTCAGATATATTCAGTATGCCATGTGAAATATTAAAAAAAACACTTTATGGAATAATATTTTCATGACAACTACTTTGCTTTCAGGTTTTAACCCTTTGTGTTGGGATAGCCATTCTACTAGTCTCAATGATAGTAGTATATTTTGTCAACGGGAGCGCAGATGTAATATTTAGCACTGGCTCGAGCCAGACGCCACAAAGTTGATGAAAGAATATAATGTAAGCCCGAGCGATGATGTCTCCAGAACCGTAGACCTTGTGGTGACTGGGTACATTCTCAGCATGGCTTCCTTATTAATTTAACCTTCAACTGCCAAGTACTGCACTGTAGTTCACTTAATATAGTTCAGTAAAGCTTTTTAAAATCTTTTCTAATTTTTTAATTTTGGGAAGTCTTGTCCAAGTCTTTTCACATTATTCAGCATCTGTTGCCATCTGGAAACTTATTCTCTTCCCCATTCCTCATGAGGTGAGGTGAAATCGGGTTTCATGTCGCGTCCAAGATTACTGCACTTTATATAGCGACGTGTGTGTGTGTGTGTGTGTTTGTGTTTTGTAATGTCTTTTGGTATGAAACAACCGCTCTCCGAACAGATGCCCTACCACTAGGCCATGGAAACGATTCCCATTCCTCAATAACTGCAAAATAGTTCAGGGTATGTTTTCAAGAATTAAACCTTATTATGTAAAGTTGAATTGTCATCCTTGCAACATAATTAACAGTATACCCTTGTTCTTATTTTTCACTGTTGAGGATGTAGGTTTCATATTTACTTATTAATGATGCTGATGCTGATCCTCCGCTGTTGATAGTCACAGGCTCAGAGAACTAAAACCTGATCTGGAGGAGTCCTGTAGATGCCCAGCTACTCTGTGACATCACCTGAATACTTGAACCCAGGAGTCATGCCACCTGAATACTTGACCCCAGTAGTCATGCCACCTGAATACTTGACCCCAGTAGTCATGCCACCTGAATACTTGACCCCAGTAGTCATGCCACCTGAATACTTGACCCCAGTAGTCATGCCACCTGAATACTTGACCCCAGTAGTCATGCCACCTGAATACTTGACCCCAGTAGTCATGCCACCTGAATACTTGAACCCAGGAGTCATGCCACCTGAATACTTGACCCCAGTAGTCATGCCACCTGAATACTTGACCCCAGTAGTCATGCCACCTGAATACTTGACCCCAGGAGTCATGCCACCTGAATACTTGACCCCAGTAGTCATGCCACCTGAATACTTGACCCCAGGAGTCATGACACCTGAATACTTGACACTATGAGTCATAACACCTGAATACTTGATACCTGAATACTTGACCCCAGTAGTCATGCCACCTGAATACTTGACCCCAGTAGTCATGCCACCTGAATACTTGACCCCAGTAGTCATGCCACCTGAATACTTGACCCCAGTAGTCATGACACCTGAATACTTGACCCCAGTAGTCATGACACCTGAATACTTGACCCCAATAGTCATGACACCTGAATACTTGACACTACGAGTCATAACACCTGAATACTTGACACCAGTAGTCATAACACCTGAATACTTGACACTAGGAGTCATAACACCTGAATACTTGACACTAGGAGTCATAACACCTGAATACTTGACCCCAGGAGTCATGACACCTGAATACTTGACACTATGAGTCATAACACCTGAATACTTGACACCAGGAGTCATAACACCTGAATACTTGACACCAGGAGTCATAACACCTGAATACTTGACACCAGGAGTCATAACACCTGAATACTTGACCCCAGGAGTCGACACCTGAATACTTGACACCAGGAGTCATGACACCTGAATACTTGACACCAGGAGTCATGACATCTGAATACTTGACCCCAGTAGTCATGACACCTGAATACTTGACCCCAGTAGTCATGACATCTGAATACCTGACACCAGGAGTCATGACACCTGAATACTTGACCCCAGTAGTCATGACACCTGAATACTTGACACTACGAGTCATAACACCTGAATACTTGACACCAGTAGTCATGACACCTGAATTCTTGACACTATGAGTCATAACACCTGAATACTTGACACTAGGAGTCATAACACCTGAATACTTGACCCCAGTAGTCATGACACCTGAATACTTGACACTAGGAGTCATAACACCTGAATACTTGACACCTGAATACTTGACACTAGGAGTCATAACACCTGAATACTTGACACCAGTAGTCATGACACCTGAATACTTGACACTATGAGTCATAACACCTGAATACTTGACCCCAGTAGTCATGCCACCTGAATACTTGACACTAGGACTCATGCTGTACGTTGTGTGGTAGATTAGGGAACTTGGGGGGTTTTGTGACAACCCGTGTACTGTGCTGTACGTTGTGTGGTAGATCAGGGAACTTGGGGGTTTCTGTGACAACCCGTGTACTGTGCTGTACGTTGTGTGGTAGATCAGGGAACTTGGGGGGTTCTGTGACAACGTGTGTGCAGTGTGTTGTACGTTGTGTGGTAGATCAGGGAACTTGGGGGGTACTGTGACAACGTGTGTGCAGTGTGCTGTACGTTGTATGGTAGATCAGGGAACTTGCGGGGTTCTGTGACAACGTGTGTGCAGTGTGTTGTACGTTGTGTGGTAGATCAGGGAACCTGTAGGGTACTGTGACAACGTGTGTGCAGTGTGCTGTACGTTGTGTGGTAGATCAGGGAACTTGTAGGGTTCTGTGACAACGTGTGTGCAGTGTGTTGTATGTTGTGTGGTAGATCAGGGAACTTGTAGAGTACTGTGACAACGTGTGCGCAGTGTGTTGTACGTTGTGTGGTAGATCAGGGAACTTTAAAGGGTACTGTGACGTGTGTGCAGTGTGTTGTACGTTGTGTGGTAGATCAGGGAACTTGTAGGGTACTATGTCAACATGTGTGCAGTGTGTTGTACATTGTGTGGTAGATCAGGGAACTTGTAGGGTACTGTGACAACGTGTGTGCAGTGTGTTGTACGTTGTGTGGTAGATCAGGGAACTTGTAGGGTACTGTGACAACGTGTGTGCAGTGTGTTGTACGTTGTGTCGTAGATCAGGGAACTTGGGGGGTTCTGTGACAACCCGTGTGCAGTGTGTTGTATGTTGTGTGGTAGATCAGGGAACTTGCGGGGTTCTGTGACAATGTGTGTGCAGTGTGTTATACGTTGTGTGGTAGTTCAGGGAACTTGTAGGGTACTGTGACAACGTGTGTGCAGTGTGTTGTACGTTGTGTGGTAGATCAGGGAACTTGTAGGGTACTGTGACAACGTGTGTGCAGTGTGTTGTACGTTGTGTGGTAGATCAGGGAACTTGTAGGGTACTGTGACAACGTGTGTGCAGTGTGTTGTACGTTGTGTGGTAGATCAGGGAACTTGCGGGGTACTGTGACAATGCGTGTGTGCAGTGTGTTGTACGTTGTGTGGTAGATCAGGGAACCTGTAGGGTACTGTGACAAAGCGTGTGTGCAGTGTGTTGTACGTTGTATGGTAGATCAGGGAACTTGTAGGGTACTGTGACAAAGCGTGTGTGCAGTGTGCTGTACGTTGTGTGGTAGATCAGGGAACTTGTAGGGTACTGTGACAACGTGTGTGCAGTGTGTTGTACGTTGTGTGGTAGATCAGGGAACCTGTAGGGTACTGTGACAACGTGTGTGCAGTGTGTTGTACGTTGTGTGGTAGATCAGGGAACTTGCAGGGTACTGTGACAACGTGTGTGCAGTGTGTTGTACGTTGTGTGGTAGATCAGGGAACTTGTAGGGTACTGTGACAATGTGTGTGCAGTGTGTTGTACGTTGTGTGGTAGATCAGGGAACTTGTAAGGTACTGTGACAACGTGTGTGCAGTGTGTTGTACGTTGTGTGGTAGATCAGGGAACTTGTAGAGTACTGTGACAATGTGTGTGCAGTGTGTTGTACGTTGTGTGGTAGATCCGGGAACTTGTAGGGTACTGTGACAACGAGTGTGCAGTGTGCTGTACGTTGTGTCGTAGATCAGGGAACTTGTAGGGTACTGTGACAACGAGTGTGCAGTGTGTTGTACGTTGTGTGGTAGATCAGGGAACTTGTAGGGTACTGTGACAACGTGTGTGCAGTGTGTTGTACGTTGTGTGGTAGATCAGGGAACTTGCGGGGTACTGTGACAAAGCGTGTGTGCAGTGTGTTGTACGTTGTGTGGTAGATCAGGGAACTTGTAGGGTACTGTGACAACGTGTGTGCAGTGTGTTGTACGTTGTGTGGTAGATCCGGGAACAGAGGGCAGACATTGGTGTTCCATCATCCCATAGTTACTTGGTCTGCATGACACACATACTTTCAATATGACTATTTTACCATTAGCTACACCTCCAGAGGCTGTGAAGGAGAAGTCCCTCTAATCTGGTGTATCCAGAAGTAGAAGGAAGGACCCCCACAGTGGCTAGTTGATTCTACTCCCAGAAGCATAAGATTCAAGTTATTTCTCCGACTTAAACCATGTTATAGTTGGTGTATTATTTCTCTATAATTTGGCACAATGACCAATAGGTGCAACAACAACGTGGCATCATCCTAATGGTTGATGTAGTGATATGTGTATCTTCCCCTTTATTGATATGTTTGTTTGGGATCTCCCCGAATGCAAAGGCTAAACGTTTCAGTAGTTGGCAACAGGTAGTAGATAGTGATTGTATATTTGTTGGGTGGGATGAGTATCAAGGGAGTCATTGTATATTGACATCTGGGAAGTCCAGCTTAATGAGGATGTACCACAACAAAGCCACTCTACGATTCTGAAGTCTGTATGTGGTGTTGGCCATGAGTGGCAGTTGTCTCCCTTAGATAGTAGTCACGTGGAAATGAAGTGTAAAATATATCACTCTTGTAATGGCCACGAGTGAATCTTTTGCATGTTATTTGACCACCTACAGACATGTTCTTGCTTTTACTAACAGCATGCTGGTTTTTTCTCTGATCAGGATCAGTCAGACTGGGCTACTTTTTTTCTGGACATAAGATATATTTTTTAAATAAATCACGTCTTCCATAACAAATTTAAGATGAAAATATATATATATATGAGATTATCAGTTACAAGGAGGCCATGACAAGATGTTTCTTTTGTCAATAATTTCAAATTTTATTGAACATTTAACACAGAATGGAAGACAATATCCAAAGTCATTGTCCTTGTTTGGTGTTGATGAAGAACAAGCTGAGTATAATAGACTGATGCAAACTCACGCTGACAGTCTGACTTGCTCCAGACTTTGGGAAGCTTTAGATGTTGTGTTGTGACAGTTGTCTGTTGTTTAGCAGCAAGGCAGGCACAGTTTGTATAGTTGGTGGAGTGGGTTTAGTTCTGTAGAATTTATTTTAGTTAGCTCTAGCTGGTGTAGTTTGAGCAAGGTGTGGGAGAATCATCTGTGTGTCCCAGTTAACGTGTCCTATGGCCTACATTTTGTTTATTGGTATATTCGAGTACTTGTTGTTCATTATGTATTTAGTGATGAAATATCATTCATAGCCTCTGAATATAAAATATATATTTCACAAGAGTGAAATTTCAAATGCAGGAACTGTTTTCTATGTTTTTCAGACGAAGATCATTGACAAAATACATTTCTATATAGAACATTTGTCCAATCTTGTCAAATAACATGCATATCAGATCATGTGATAAGTGGGGCATTTTCACGTATTGCCAGCCTCGTGATAGTGATGTCTCTTGGACTACTTGTTACGTACTCAGCGTACGTTATGGATTAGCGTTATTGGACCTGATAAGCCACGTGTGTGTGTAGTTAATAAGCTCTGATGCATAGTTTACCTTGAAATGTTCTGTCAAACTCAATTTATAAAGGTGATGAACGAGATGTAAGGCTGACAAAGCTAGAATTGAGACTATCAGACAGTATGTAACTTCAGCCTGAAGTAGTTATTGTTATTGTGTAAATATGATGATAAGAACAAGCTGCTGTCCCCATTCAATGTTGTGGAATTCTTAGTCTCACACTCTAGGTGTTTCCAATGGCTGATAAGTTGTTCCAGTTCAAGGGTAGGGCTACTGACATTAATTTGGTGATGCATTAAGTTCCTGATTTCTGGTATTGCCCACTGCCACTACAGACAGATCATAGCCTTCTCTGTGTTACTGTTAACATGTCTAATATCTTGCAATTGAAACAAAATCAGTTTTTTCCAACTAAGCCAACCTTACAACACAACTTACATTTGCAGTTTAGAACTCATTGACCCAGACACTTTATGTTTTAGTAACCTTGCCATGTTGTTTGGGTTGTGAACTGTAAGATTAGAACATGTGTTCTACTATTGCTGACCTATGACCTGACTGTGCATCACTCACCTCATCAGGTCCATCTCCATAATGCCTTTCAAACAAGCTGGCTTTGTCACGTCTGTCTCTCTGCCTACAGAGCAGTGTGTCGGAAAAAACTTTTATATAATCCTAAATATACTCTTTCTTGCCAATATTACATATGGTTCATTTTTTTCGAAATAGAGGAGTTCTTATTGTGTGTAATTTGTTCAGAATTTGTGCATATCAGTGTTTGTCTAAACATTAAAACCTGTGAACATTTTGATCATGAAAATATATGTTTGCTTTTTTAACATATAGGATGCGTCTTAAAAACGTGGGTGACCTTCACCTTTGATGAAATAACAATGAAAAGAAATGAAATTAATTTATAGGATAGCACTGAGTATTATTACATATTATTCATTAAGTTTTGTATTAACTGACGAAAATATACTAAGAGATTAATATTAAAGTGTGGTGTATGTTGAATGTCATACAGTGTTAACGATTGTGAACAAAACAGTACGCTGTTCTTATCATCATATCCTGAGCATGTGACTTGATTGTACTGGAACCATATCATCTTTCTGGTCCTTCCCAGCAAGACTGTTTAAACATACTTCTTATTGCTTGAACATTTTCTGTTTCAGACAACAACTTTGAGCCTTGGGGTTGTGATCATGTTGGTGTCTTTTGTCATCGTGTACTTTATCAATGAGCAGTCGGATATACTGTTCACACACCCAACATCTAATAGATATTACACGTATTGAAACTAGGTCAAGGTCATCACCAACCCAATTTAGTTCTCCACTGAGGTTGTCACGATGGGTCAAGGTCATCTTGATTGCCTAGGTCACATGTTGCCATCTATATTTCCTTAACAATGTTTATGACTCAGTGATGTTCAAACAGTTTATGAACCAAATTTGTTGTAGGCTGTAAGCCTTTTGTAAAACTCACTAGCCATCAGATGTAAGTTCAGAGGAACTGTGAAGCTTTAATTCTCAAAGGTCACCCTGAAGGTCACTTGGCATGCTTAGTATGTTGAGGTATGATTACATTATTATTATTCACAATATTGTCGATAATTCATAAGTTTGGCCTAAGTTAACAATTTAAATATATATATGTTAATATTATTCGAGTTAGTGAACAAATTTAGTAGTTAGAAGAAAAACCCAAGGTAGCTCAATTTAGAAGTGAAATACAACTTTTGTGCCTTTTTTTACCCTCTATTCTCTTATTTTTGTTTTATTTCACTCTCCTGAGTATACTGAAAGTTTGGGTAGCTCTTAATAAGAGAGTTTTGTCCACTTTTACTTTTCTGTTATTTCGACCATGAACCCAAGAAAATCTCTACCCAAGAAGATGAAAGCTGCATGTGAATAGATGACACATTCAAGCATTCACCAATGACGAGCTGGTCCACAGCTGGTAGACTGGCTTACCTTGTGCAGTGTGCTAGCCATGCTGTGGCCGGGGTCTGACAACTGTGTTGGATGTTCTGTGCTGGGTGATTGTGGACCTCTGCCATGCTTGAAGTGACCCTGGGGAATCTGGCAGTCCTGGGACTACAGCAGCCGTCAGGCACCAGGCAGGAGGAGCAGACAGTTAGCCGAGATTAGGACTGTTTCAAAAGTCTGGCTTCTATGATTCAGATCAGAAATATGCTTTTGGCCACACATTTTTTATTTTTCCATTTCACGGCCGCCGCTACTGAAAATTGGCCGGTCTAAGAAATAAATTAAACATTAAGATGTTTATTGTCATATGTCTCCCACTAGTAATATAGACCCTCTTCTGCAATATTAAATATTATATATGAATTCCATGTCTACATCACTATCAGGGATTCAAGAGGCCAGCTGCAGTTTTAACTCCACATCAGAATGACATTCATAGAAATAAATGAATAAATGACATTTATTTTATTTTATATTGGACTGACCTTGTGTGGAAAGCTGGAATAAATCCGTGAAACATAAACTTAAAAGAGTGTGGCCTTATGGTAATGGTCTGTTTTTGATTCTAATAAATATCTATGACTAATGATAACTGACAATAAGTTTTCTCAAGTTCCATATCTTCCTAGAACATTCCAGTCTTGTAGGGGGACCATTTAGAAGTAGAGGTGTAGTCGTCGCTGTGTTGTCACCTGTGTTGGTGTAAGTGTGGCAGTCGGTGTGAGAAGTAAAGGCTGCACCCTTCTGTGGAATTCAGTGGCACACAAATACTCAATGATGAAAACTTTAACTTTCTTATTGTCGTGATGATACAACCAACAGAAGATAAGGGATGCTGTATTCCGTCAGCTCACCTCATCCCCTTGCTACAAGTCAACATTGAGGATGCCTGCCATATATAGTGATGGTAAACTAGAGATTGCTTGTAGTGACGAGGCAAGAGAGTTAACTGACTATAAAAGCATGTGCACCGCCAACTTGTGGTCGACAGATATTTCCCAAACCTTTTCATGTTTTTAATCAAGGTGCTCGCATGATTTGGTGCACTTCACAATGTAAGATCCGTTTTATCTCAATATAGATCTTGATTATCGATCAGATCATCTTGACTGGGCACAGCCATTTTGTTTGAAACAAATGATGGTGATGGAATCCGATTGGTCCATAGAAGAGGCTTATTTACTCGTAATAACCACTGGTGGCGCTACAATCGAGCCCAGGAATTCCAGCCTAGATCAGCAAGGCTGGCAACTGGACTTTTATAGTCAGTGCCTCTTGCCTCTTGCCTCAGGAAGATGTATTCCCTGCTGAGGTGAAGTTGTGACACTGCCATCTTGCCAAACCATCACCTGTGGAAGAATTTACTTGACTTCTAAAATGTTCTTGCCACATATAATCTTGACTACATCTATAGATACTGGTGTACACTTGCTGCGTAGTAGTCTGTGTTTGTCTCAGTGAGGAATAAGCTCGGAAGACTCGCCAATGTGTGTGTGGCCTTTGTTATGTTACCACTTATCATGAAACAAGGTGCGAAATCTTGAGTGCATAAATCAGAACAAACTAACTTAACTAGTCCTGCAAGTAAAACACAAACTGCTTGATAGCAACAATGTCTTTAACAGGTAGGGTCACATTGAACATGACCAATTTCAAGCTAAAACAGTGCAAAAGAAGTATTGCAGCTCAAGTATCACGTTATGTATAGCCACACCGTGGTGCCGTGCTGAGGTTGGACGATTCCGTTCAGAAGAGACGGGAGCAAGCCTTGGTTCAGGGCTTTGAATTGTCACATACTTGTGTGAGCATGTCGCTTTCATGGCCAATGTGGCTCGAGTTGATTGGCACTCCACGCTCACCTCTGTGATAGTGACACATAGGATGGTGCTGACCAATACATGCATGAGGTAGAATACGGTGACACCTACAGTGTGTGGTAGTCATGCAAGGAGCGGTGCCGGACCTCACACCACTACACTGGTGGCATTCTCTTTGTGACTGTTGGTTGTACATTCACCTTGAAATGTGTGTCAATCAAATTGTATTGAGTGCTGACAAGGTTGGGTTACACTGTAAATATCCTAGTTGTTGGAGAAACAAAATACATTGTGATATTAATAGTTATGACCCAGTGATATACCCCTGCTACTGCTGCTGTTTCTGTTAAAACAATGTGTAATATACAAAAGAAAATGTAGATCATCATTTGAGTTTTATTTGGGGGCGCTTAAGATTACTTTTTACAGATTGGTCTAGAAGTTGGTCGTGGGCGCTTAATATGGAGAATACAATAGATTTATATGTACACATGATTTCAGTTACTTTTCGTTAAGAATAAAAAATTCAGACTATATTTTCCTGATCAAGTTATGTTTAAGGTTTATATATCAACAAGATTAAACAAGAAATAGTTTATTCCAGAAATGATGATAGCATCGGGATGTTGGGACTTTCCTAGAAGTGTTGATAGTGTGTTGTATAATGTCCTCCTGTGTTCCTCCTTGTGGAGGACATGTCAGTGAAGGTGGACAGATTGAATACTTAACTGCTTCAGCTTGATGTTTCTTTTTCTTTGCACAAAACATTGTATTGTAAACACTGATTTCTGTTGACACATTTGAATGCTGGTGATTGTGTTGTCATAGCAACAAGTGTTGACCTAAGTATATTAAATAACAGCGCATTGTCTGTGTCCGATGAAGTCGTCAGGCTTGTATTTTTATCACACAATCTTACTTTTTATTTCATTGACAATCGTGGGAAGAAAAATATTTTTCATAAAGTGTGCATGAGGTTTACTCATTGTGTACGAGACCCGTGAAGATACGGGTAGAACAGGTCTTCAGCAACCCATGCTTGTCTTAAGAGGCGACTAACAGGATCGGGTGGTCAGACTCACTGACTTGGTTGATGCATGTCATCTTATTTCAATTGCATGGATCGATGCTCATGACATTAATCACTGGTCCAGACTCGATTATTTACAGACCATCGTCATATAGCTGAAATATTGCTGAATGCGGCGTTAAACAACAAACAAACATTATGTACCACTAGTATGGCGGTGTGTTTGTCACGTGATGGAACTTGTAAATATATTTCATGGAAACTGCAGCTTATTGTTTTCAAACTTTCATACATAATTTTATTTTCATCTTTTAGTTGCATACACAGATTTCTTTGATCATTTCTCTTACTGTATTTTATTTTATTATAATACTCATAAATGTGCCAAGGTTTAGTGATCTATTTAAAAACATTTTTGGTGCGTGATTTTAATATTGTCTGCTAACACCTTGTGGCTATGAGATCAGAAATAAGTATTTTGTTAAAATGATTATATTGTCATGGGCAATAAGAAAGTAAAACATGCATCATGATTGAATTTCTTTCCTGGTTAATGCCAGAACAGCTGTAGAGAATCCATTGTCACCAATTTGTATTGTCTTGTCTGGTGTGTGGACATGTAGGTTGTACATTTTATCACAGAATGGAAACATTCTAAAATACCTTATCTCATAAACAATATAATAAAATATGCCTGATCAAAATTATTTTGTTTGCTTGGCTGCAAATTATATTTGAGTGAATCATTGTCAAGTGACAAGTGAGTGTTGAGTGGAGAATGGTTGAACCATGTTCTTGTACATTCCAGCATTCAGCTATGTCATTACATCTTTAAATTAAACATCTCACATATGTATATATTTTTTGCCATTAAAGTGTATGAATCATTGTTGAAATCCATTTTGTCATGACAAGTCACTGGATCGTCTTCATACTATTTGTGTTGCCATGGATTTAAGAAAAGAGTTTAACTGAATGTCTCTCATTGTTAAATGACAGTGTATATGTATTGGTTTTGTTGTGTTATTATGTATTGGTTTGTATTGTAGTAATTTTATGTCAGGCTTTGTTTAAAGTTATGTTTTCAATTACCAGAATGTGTTTTGCTATTCAGCTTATTTATCGAATATATGAAGTAGTAGAATTTTCATTGTATTTATGATTATTACACTAATGACTAGTCTAAGAATCTTTCTTGGTTGATTTTTTTCAAATGAAAAGAAAAGAAAAGTATTTTTCTTTAATCAGGTTCAAAGGAACTAATTTAGATGGCGATGTTTCAGTGGAAGCAGAGTGACAGCTTCATGGTGCTGGGGTTCTTATCAGAGAGATGCTGACCAAGATTGAAGCTTGGGGTTAAAAAAGAGTAATTTAATGAGAAAAAGAGTATTGTTAATAGTACCATTATGCAGGTTTTCGTTTCGACCTTATCGTTAGGCCTGGATGTACTTGAAACATTTGTACATGCATAGATGCTACTAATATAGCCCCATGTGACAGCATCACTATTTGAAAACTCTTTGGTAATTAAAAATTACATTTACTTATGAAACATTTATTTCAAGCTGTTATTTAATAACTGTATTGCAGAAATACAATGAGTTGTTTTTAGTTTGAGTGTAAATGCAATTAGTTCCCTCTGGATTGCTTCACATGACTGGTGCATTAACAATTTGCTCTCCGTGATATTTTAAGCATGTAATTAATTTGTTGACAAAATTTCAAAAATCAATATTTGAGGACAAGTGTTATTATAGACCCTAAGTCTAATTATTATGCCAAAAGCGTAATGGTTTGTATATCTGCTATAGTAATGGTACTTGAAATTAGGGATCTACTTATTTCGAATCTTTAAACATCTGTAACTGTTTCTACACATACGGTTATGGCTTCCATGCTTAAATTTCAAACAGTTTCATGTTATGTAAATTAGTTTCTCATTATGTATACCTTATGTCTATTTTGTACGTGATCATGTGTAAATATCACATTTTATGGAACAAAAAAATTCTCATGTAAATAAAATATCACATTGTCCTTGAGTTATGGTCTTTGATGGAAAGGACAGGGTCTACAAGATGTGATGGAGAGCCTGCTGCCAGCCTTGTCGCTACAGCACTCACTCGGCACACCCACATGGCTTCACCAGACTTGAAGGCTGTTCATGATAATGCTAAAAGCAGAGTGACAGTATGTTTGTGTTGCTACAGTTACATGTGTTACTGTTCACAAATTCACATCAGAATTATTTATTGAACTGATAAGTGCAGCACATTCAGCTTGATACCAAATTAAAACATTGTGTACTGGAATAAGTACACACATCGGCAGGCCCAGTCGTTCAAGGCGTGCTGCTATTCCCTGTGTAGTGCTGCATTGCATCCCTTAGGTTTCCACTAAATCACTTCAGGCTTTCCTCCCACATTGAGCGGACAGAGTGGCTTTGAACAGTATTTCAGTTAATCAGTGTCCATGACTGACACTGATTAACTGAAATACTGTTCAAAGCCACTTCAAACCCAACTCACTCACTCACTCCAGACATCAGCCGTCCTAAAACAGCTCACAGTGCTACGTTCTTACAGCAAATTGAGCATTTGCTATCTGTGCACTGCCACAATGAGACAAGACATGGGGACGATGGTGAACATTTAATTGCAGTAGGTACAGTTACAACAGTGTAAAAGTAACACATAACAAAGATGACTAAGAAACTGAGTTTCTTGTGGTCTATGGACCCGGCGTGTCCAACATGGTGTGTTCGTACTGGTCACACACACACAACACCTCCCTGCTGTACACATAGTTGTCACATAAAAATAAATAACATCAAACTCAAAGCTCTACAGTTACCTTGGAAATTGCTTACCTTGTACATAATTAATTATTTATATTCAAAAAACCATTTTAGCCTGGCACAAAGAAAACTTATTGCTTAACATGGCTTCTTAATTTTATTTGTTGATCAAAAATACAAAGCCAACCAATGTTTGGGCTGACCTATCGTGAAGACATAGTGACAAGGGAAATACTTCCTTAGTCTTCTTAGTCAATCAGAAAGATGTCATTAATTGTAGTAGTACTAACTGTGACTTCAGCCACTACCCTAATGCCCAAATCTAGTAAAACCATGTTCGGTCTGGTAAGCTCTGGTTTAGCCTATAGATTGGTACTAAAACCTTCTGAATGTGATGTCCATAGACATGTTTGAACATTTGACATTTTTGGCACAGACTTTTACTGGTTGAACAACAAAATGTAGTTCAAAGTATTTACAGACATTATGTGTGTGGAATTATGCCCATTTGTGAAATAAACTGGAGGAGGATCTCGGGTTTCTATACACTTGAATTGCTTCTTTTGGAAAGTACACAACCCACTAAAGATGGGGTATCAGGCTAAATCTGATGCCGTAGACACACAGGAAACCAAGAGGCATCCGCCTTCAGGTGCTTGTCACAGATTTCTCAGTGCCTGTGAACTGACAGTCTTATTTTTAGGCATTCTAATTTTTCATTAGTTGGTTCACAAAACCAGCAAATTAATTGAAGTTAGAAAAATTTGAAATTATTTTTTAAATGTTTTGAATGGGTCAAAATTCACAATTAAATGTGTTGTCCCAGGAACATGAAACTAATGTAAGTTACAGCTGTTTGCACAACGAATACCACCCATTTAGAAACTGATGCCTCCTTTAACTACCTGTGAGTATCCTGTATGAATACCCTGATGGACACACTGATTGATGTTCCCTGGTGTACCAACAGGACGGAAACTGCTGAAACTAGTGTCAAACCATAAACTCAATGTTCTGCCAAGTTTAATCTTGTTCTTTATTAGGGAGGGTATTTTGTCAATTATTTTCCCCTACCTACACTGAATTTTGGGCCAATCTTTTGTGAACCAACTACTAAAACAAAGAAGGCTTCATACTCGTAAGATGTTCTGTGAGTGTTTATGCCAAGACATATTTCTACAGATAACTAAGCCAGCTAGTAACTACACAGACAGATTGTGGAACAGCCAGCTCATTTCAGACTATAATGCAATCAACATAAGACACACATCCACATTAGTATACCGGTATGTACGCTAGTCAAAATAAAAATCACTGTTCAACTGTAAAATGCCTTTTCATCCAGAACAATCATATTACATTCATGTATTTGTATTTAAATTTTATACATATTCTAAGTTTCATATACTGTGTCAGATGTCCAAACAGTAGTATGTAGCACAGTAGCTCACCTGAATAAGTAGTCCACAGTCTAACATGACAACAGACTGCCATTTAAGAACAGTTGCTGCCAGTATTGCTACTTAAGTACTTTCTGCATCAATACTGAAGACAAAAGTGTGAACAAGTAACTAACAAGTCACTATTTTTCTAAGTCTGCAAGAATAAATGTACTATTGTAGAACATTGTTACAATACACAAAAGTTTCATCTCCGAGCCTCATAAACCTTTCAAGGATAATAATTTTCTAATGCCACAGAACTGTTTCACCAAAAAAACATTTAAATCTTAATGATTGAAAACGATATAATGTCATGAGGGGAACCATACATACCAGAGTTCAGCTTCCTCAGTCTGGCAATGTCACAGATGTTTACAGAGAAAATGCATTTTGAGATAATTTCAGAGCATTACATTATATTTGGGGCAGAAATTGCTGAGCAGTGGCCATCAATACTTTTTTTTCCAATATAACTGTTGTGGTGGCCATATTGAAATTCAGACTAGAGCCTGTTGAACAACTTCAGTGGTGAATCAATGGTGGGAACAAGCATGTAATGGTTACAGTGTGAGAAAATGCATTTTGAGATAATGTATGAAGGGCATATTTTAAAAGTGCAAAGGTCAAACCAAGATCAAAATAAGATTTAGCGTAAGATGGAACACATGTGTTGAGCCCACTACCAACTACACACATACCAAATTTCAGACCATAGGAAGTTTCAGCTTTCAGTATGTTTGAAGTACCAAGGTCAAATCAAGGTCAAAATTTAAAACATCACAAAAAACAGCACACATTATGTATGCTGAGACCCACTACAAACTAAACATGTACCAAATTTCAGTAATTTTGTAAGAAATGGCCATAAAGGGTTTTTTTCAATATGGCTGCCTTGGAGACTTTGAACATTTTGAACAAACTGGGGTGTCATCATTGGTGGGAACAAGAATGTGAAGTTTTAGTTTCATCGTTCCAGTGGCTTAAGTCAGGTGAGTTAAAATGTAGTTCTCTCTAAATGAGAACAAAATCCCCAAGCAGATTTACAGCTAGAAGTGTAAGACCAAATTTGGCCAACCCTTACCATGCATATGATGAAAACATTTGCCATAATCATAATACTGGACTCAGATTCTTTAGGATTTTGAAATATTACAGAATAATAGCCTTACAAGTGAAAACAAAGTGAGATGAATTCAACTTAACATTCAATTCATGCATTTTAATTGCCTTATTAGGAAGTCTAAGTATATAATATACATGACACTAAACAAATGTGGGTGATACACTATCACTTCTGTAAAAGGACGATCTCATTAAAATCAGATCTTTTGTACAAATTAGACACCTCCCTCAGAGGTAAAAAATCTGATTTTAAATAGATTAATAAAATGATAGTAAACTAGAGTACAAGGGGTATGATTGTACTACAGTAATTACTACAGCAATATGAGATTACAAGAGACATAAAGCGACACAGAGACATGCTTGAGCAACAGCTTCACCATGATGGAGTCGCCATAAACTCAAGTCGTACTCAAAAAGTAGAGAAATTGAATTGCAAAATACTAGAACCTTAAAAATCTAGTGCCACGGCATTAGTAGATACTTGAATTTAACTGCATGTCTGCAATCATTTGTTTGTTGTTTAATGCTGCAGTCAGCAATATTCCAGCATGGCAACCTTTAAGATAATATTGCCAAGACAAACCTGTAGTATTACAAGTAATGTCCAGATCTGTCAGGGTACAATGACACAACATCAACCCAGTCACTGAGCCCGACCACAGGCTACTGGGGAACAAATCTCACCTTGTGCGCCCATGGTGTTGGCAACATGTCGATAAAAACAATCTCAATTAAAATCAGATCTTTTACACCTATTTGATACCCCTCAAGTTGATACCTTTCTCTGTCAGAATCTGACAATGAGAAAAATTTGAAAGTGAAGGATTTGTGTGCTTTTGGGCTACTCCGATGTCAGCTTTCTAAAACAACTCAGCTTTGTCAAACTGGAGGATCACTTAAGGGGTCAGTTTTACTACAGTTTGTTGTAGGAGAAATGAAAGCACACCTGGGGAAATTCTGAGGTCACTGACTGTAAGAAAGGACAGGGTGTTAATTATCCACAACATTGTGCAACCACTATTATTCCCATTCGGAGCTGCCTGTTCATTTTTCAGTATACAGAAATCAGATATGCTGCTTGTTATACTTTGCTGACTTGTACGGACAATTAATCCTCCACGATGATTGGCTGATCAGAAAGTTCACATGATAATACCTGCCATGCAGTGACCTGATAATACCTGCCATGCAGTGACCTGATAATACCTGCCATGCAGTGACCTGATAATACCTGCCATGCAGTGACCTGATAATACCTGCCATGCAGTGACCTGATAACACCTGCTATGCAGTGTTCGTCAGATCTTTATGGAGAGGGCTATCAAATCAGAGTGAAAGATCTGGCGTTAATGAGATTGTTGTAGGAATTAAGCAGCCATTCACAATAGCAACTGAACATGTATTTACATTGATGATATATAGACAAACAAAAGTTGATAAAATCTCCATTATATTAATGTAACAAAAGCTGGTTGATGGTTCCCACAAGCCTGTGAACACGTATGGCACTGTGATACACGATGGTCCATCTGGTCAGTGCCTTGGACTGAGTCACTGGGATCTCTATGCAGAAATGTCACAACCACAATCTGAGAGCGGGTGGGGTGGGTGGGTGTGTGTCTATTTCACCCATGATTCACATGCTGCTGACTTGCAGGCAGAGGTCGTCGGAACAGCAGAACATGGGGCTCTGCAACAGATCATCACAAGTCAAAAGAACTGTGGTTGGTTTTTCAAATGGAAAAAAAGTGAGAAGAAATAAAACGATTTATTGCAAGCAGTTTTACTGATAGTGGGATCTTGAATAGAATATACTTAAGGGGTCCTAGGGTTCTTGAGGTTCACTCCTGTATTTGAATCTGGTGACTCTGGTGAATCTCCTAAATCTTAAACTTTTAATCATTAGGGCAAAGGTCCCCTTGCCCTTCATTCTTAATATGTAACACTGTGTGAACATTTATTACAAACTTTTAAAGGAGCATCATCAGCATTATATCAGTTCCTGCCGTATTCCGTGATTCCGTGGTCACAGAATATTTTGCTGAAATGACCAGTCAGAAGGAAATATGCCTATCTTGCAGAAAATCTATCTTTTAGCAGAACTTGTGAAGAATTTTGCATTTATCTGCCACAGAGTTCGTCAAATACACTGCATAATTTTAACACGTGAATAAAAAGCTGTTTTTAACGAGTAGGACATTTATTGAAGTGAAGTGAAGTGTCAAATAGATGCGAAACTATGAAATTCACGAAAACTAAGCTTAAATGCTCACAGAACAAGGGCAAAAGTGAGCGTGGCTGACTTATACCCCCGACCCGCCTAGTGTGTCAGTAGTTTCAAACTAAATAGCTAGGATAGGGTTAGGGTTTGAAAAATTCATTAAAAAATGGAAAATTAATAAAAACAATTTTTTTCTTTTGACTGTACCCCTCCATATGACACAGATTATATGTAGTAAGTTTGAGATGAATCCACTGAATAGTTTAAGAGAAATCACGCGGACAAAGTTTTCGGACGGACGTTAGGGTTTGAGGTGAGGTGAAATGGGGTTTAACGTCGCGTCCAAGATTATTGCACTTATATAGCGACATGCATGCACGTGTTAGGGTTTGAAAAATTCATAAAAAAATAGTAAAATTATTATATAAAAAAAATTCTTTTGACTGCACCCCTCCATATGACACATATTATATGTACTAAGTTTGAGATGAATCCACTGAATAGTTTAAGTGAAATCATGCGGACAAAGTTTTCGGACTGACGGACGGAACCTTGGTATAACTATATATAATTATCAAAATTTGGTTGTAGAATTCACAAAAATAGACTCCAGAATTTTGATTCCCTAGGCTCAACCCTGTAGCCACACACAAAAGCTGACAACCCTCATTCAGTGATATTACATCCTAGCAGAGCTCCAAATCAACCATTAGTTCCAGACTAATCAAATTCAGGAAGGACTAGTGATAGTTCCTTGTGGACTACCACTTTTTCCATTTGGGTTGAGTGAGTGAGTGAGTTGGGTTTAATGCCACTTTTAACAGTATTCCAGTTATATCACAGCGTGTCAGCTTAATGTGGGAGGAAAGCCCAAAGTGATGCAGGTCTCAGACGTTGACCACTTCGGTGAAACCCACGAGCACGGGTATGGTGCTGACAAACCTAGAAACATAATCGGGGTTAACCGGGATTCGAACCCACAGGGACGCAACTCTGCACAGCGAATCACGGTGCCTTAGACGACTGGGCCACCCGTGCCCCCCTTTCATTTGGCAGTTGACAACTCTGGATCAGATCATTTTTGCGGACTAGTGAAAATAAAAAAATAATTTCTATCTCTGCCTAACTCAACAGACAGAACCATTACGATATGTCCCACACATGATATGGTGTACAAGTTGTGTAAATAGATATAACAAGATAAGGCCTTGTCAAAAAAACACTTTTAATTAGGAGTGTGTTTCAATGCATATAAGAGTGAAAGTAAGTTGGATACGTTTTACTAAATAAATGTTCTCAAGTTGTAATAAATTGAGAGATTGAGTTTGGTTTAGAGCCGCTTATAACAACATTCCAGATATGTCACGGCATGTCAGCTGATTGTGGGAGGAAAGACCGAAGTGATGCTGGTCTCTGAAGTTCAACGCTTTAATGAAACCCAAGAGTACAGGTATAGTGCTGACAAACCTAGAAACATAATCAGGACGAACCGGGATTCAAACCCATAATCATAGGTTTCTGGTGTGCCCAAGGGACACAACTCAGCACAACAAACTGGGAGGCCTTAGACGACTGGGTCACCCGTGCCCCCGATTGTCTTCATGTGTACACGTTGCCTATGTTAGATTGTTTCATGAGTCCTGTTTCCCAACAAATTACAGTTGTATACATCCCTGACTGCTCCATGCAGATATCCAGTCTGCCCCTGGCTCTATGTCTATGTCTAGCCAAGCAAGGTTATTTTCTTTATTTGGTTTCCAGATTCTGCTGACCCACAGAAATGAAAACTTGATAAACTGTTTTATCAGTGTTATTCCAGCATATATGCCTAATGCAACTGTGTACATGATAGGTTAAGCTACAAGACAAGCCTAACACTGCACACAGCAACATATTCACATAACATTTGAAGACCAAACATAATCTGAATTGTTGTTTTTTTATTTTCTCAACACTCAACTTTGAAAACTAAGAAATAAAAAGTCTGGCCTAAAAATATCTTTCCATAATAATTGAAAACATACTGAGTTGCAGATTGTGTTTGGAGAGGTAGTGGAGTGTGGCGTGTGTGCCTGGTTACCTGGTGAGTGCATCATGTAGTGTATCCAGCCTGGCGACTGCTGCACTCCCAGGTTTCTCCACTCAGTCTCCGTCATCAGGTGGTTCTTGGGCACCTGCTTTGCTATGTCAGACGGCAGAATCACGTGTCTGGGGATGGCAAGACAATGAAACAGAGCATTTAAAGGATCATTGTGTGTACTCTTCAGTGTTTGAAGTTATGGGCTCCCTGAGGTCTCTCCTTAGGTATTAAAACCTAAGGACTCTTAAATCTCTAACTTTCAACAATAGGGTTATAACAAGGATCCCACGACTTTCATGCTGAATTTCAAAAACTGTTCTTGATATTTTTACTCACGAGACACGACAATGGTCCCACTTTTCAAGATTTATGGTAGGATCAAATTGTCCTTTCAATATTAGAATGGCTCCAGTTGTACATTCGAACACATAAAAAAAAATCAGGCATGCCCAAGTGCACTGGACCTGTTTTTCAGGTGAGCCATTTTCAATTTAGGTGTGCCTTGTCTACCAAACCCGTGAAGATCCGGGTTAGACTTGGTCTTGAGCAACCCATGTTTGTTGAGACAGAGGACTAACAGGATCAGGTGGTCAGGGTCGCTGACTTGGTTGAAACATGCCATTGTATCCCAATTGCATAGATCAATGTTCATGATGTCAATCACTGGATTGTCTGGTCCAGACTCGATTATTTACAGACTGCAGTGATATAGCTGGAATATTGCTGAGTGCTGTGTTAAATAACAAACAAACAAACTATATTTCCTAATATTTATAACAAAAGGCAGCTAATCCATTAGACAGAGATCTAAGAGGCTTAGAAAGTTTTTTCCTTAAACATACTAATGAACTGGTTATGATCATCATCATACTCTTTGCAAATTTGGCAAAATATTAAATTTTTATCCCTGTCACATATTAACCACAATTTGTACTTTGGAATTTGTACCTCGTGAATACCAAATTTGTTCCATTTTGACAAATAGCGATCCTCTCCTAGGTTTTTCACAACATTTAACACAAATTACTACCTATGTAATTAATTTATGATATTGTGATGGCCATCACGAAGAATATATAAATATTAATGTGTCTTTATTATAAAATATGTAAGTTATGACAGCTTGTAAAAATTAGAAATATTTCCTAAATATTTCCCTGTTGTATTTTTGATGGTTATATGACAGTGCACGAATTATATCATAATTATCCTGTAAACTGTAATTAGTTTTGCAGGTATATATCAGTATACTTTTGCCAACCTCGTTTTCACGTAATTCAATGTTTTGAATCCCGTTTTGGTAAGAAATCTATCAGAGGATCATAGCATGCTTTTATAGAGCTTCATGGCACACCGTTATCTCGTAAAAATAATCATATGTCCATGCCATCATGTTACGCATATTGTTTAGGATGTGCCAGTACCTCATAAGCATCGATGTCAACAACGTGCCTGTCAAAACGATCTTGTTTACTTGTTTCAAGAGTTTTGCATTGACCGTAACTTTTGAAGAATTCATCGTTCTAAGCACACAGTTACGCAAATTAACCATCAGATACAGATTAATCATACCTTTGTTCTTCAACAAACAGATCACAATCACTTGGCAGCTTGATATTTATCCATATTTGTGTGAATTTGTGATCAGGGCTGAGCTACGTGTTTCGCCGACGCCCGCCATTTTAACTTTGTGACAGCTAGCCTAGGTCGCGATGAAGTTACTGAATTTGGCTAATGCTTAGCATTTGCATTATAAAGTTTATTTAATCTAATGAACTATGTCCAGAGGAACCCAGAATCGTATTTGATGATATGTCAAGACGTGTATTAAAGTTACTGTTAATTCTGACATCAGGAACTATGTAATCTTCGCTGATGTATTCATGCGCAGTATTTAGCGTCACTATTTATGAACATGTTTCTCATAAATATGACATCCAGTGCTTCTGTCAAAGCATACCAGTGGCCAATTTGTGTTATTAAACGTCCTATGCATCAGATAAATTCCAATTGCCTCCTGACATTTGTAATCTTCCTCTTTGAATTGTCCATCGTAATTCCCAGTCGATGTTGCTTGTTGTTATTACGTCCTCTCGGCAGGCAGCAAGGACGTAGCTTCGACGTAGCAGGACGTAATTGTTTATCTTGTGATATTGGAAGGCAATTAGTGAATCAATTAGACAGAATTCATTGATTGGTATAAATACTCATTTTTATACCAAATTACCTCCTGAGATGGTTTGCCTTCCTCTTTATTTCAGTGATTTTACATTGTGAAAGTAGATCCCTCAAAGGAATAAGGACGTAAAGAGACGT